TACTGCTTGGGTGGAAAGAAAACCAGCAGCCACACGGCCCTTTCTGGAACGACTTTGACACCCCTGCACTAAAAGGTTATGTCGGTTACGGTGCTCAGACCGATCTCAGCACAGTTTCAAAACGGTAGTGTAAATTAGGCTATAGATGAGAATGCAAATATTAGTTGACTCTGGTGTCAGATCAAAAAGCCAAAACTCTCCTTAGAAAATCTGATAATTCAGGAGAATCAAGACTAGACTGCTACAGACCCCAGATTGAACTGCCAGTGACTTCTGCAAAGCCAGTTATTTTACTGATGGGCCCCTTTATCCTCATATCACTGAGATTATTGGGACACTGGGCACCAAACACTTTTAGGAAGTTCAATATCATTCTGTTTTGATAGAAGTAGATCTACCAAAGATTAAGGAGACACCTGATGTCACTTGGTGCTTGATCCAGCACACAATGCAGTCCAGTCCTAGAGCGTAAATGTAATAACTGTGGCTCCAAAAAAAAACATTTACAGTTTAGGTCCTGGTTCCAAGCAGACACTCTCCAGATCCTTATCCTAATAAAACTTTGTTGATGCTTTGCATAAACATAATGTACTCCGTTATACAAGCCTAAATGTCTTTGTTTTTTCAAACTGACATGAAGCACAAATTGAACCTCCTAAAAAAATTAACAATAGAGAAGCAGTAAAGTAAATACCTTCATGTTGTCATGGCTATACAGACAACAATCAGCTTTTAGCACTGTTCTACAGAAATATGAATTAGCATAAAAAAACCTTAATTAAAAAGAATATCATACAAGCCCTGAAAAGGTTTGACTACGTGTCTTAGAATCAGTAGAACCAATATATAACCATGTCTTTAGATAATCAGATTGGAACAAATGGAAGAAAACAAAAAAAAGAAAACATTTTAACCAGTTCAAAAAAGGTGTCTAACGAAACAGTGTTAAATGCAAACATCTACAAACCTTCTAAAGACCTCAAATGCATGACGTGGTGAAGGGGGGATATTGCACTTAGGTGTTGCTGATTGCGTTGGCCAGTATCCTGTAGTCAGGACCCTCACAGTGAGATCAACCCCTCCGAGGGCGACCTGAAGTTGGAGAAAATAAAAAAACACAATCAGCTCAGAAAAACACCCAAACTGAACTGAAGCCATTTTTTAGATCCATGAAGGCAATGTGTAAAAAAATTATAATTTTTTTGCCTTACAAAGACCTCAAAATTAGTAAGATTTAGATTTTGAATTCATTACTGTTTAATGGTAACAATTTAAGCACACATGAGAAATCTACGTGTTAGCTTGAGAGGCGATCGCATGGCCTTACAACCTCTGTGGTGAAAGCTAACAGTAATACACACCGTTAGCTGCATGATAGCTGCAATGCAACAAAGCTATGAATGATGGGGTCTTTCACTGACTGCAGACTGAAAATAAAAGAATCTGCAGCCTGAGGCGGCTCCTCACCCCGGTGGTCTGGAGATGTTGCCTGAACTCGTCCATGGTGGTGTTGGAGATGCTCATGTCACGGAACATTCCCTCTAGTTTGGAGGTGAACTGACATCCACACTCGGTCTAAAGGAAGGAAAGCAAAATAACCGTTAGGATAAGAAAGTATCTACTTATAGTCAATACATTCAGAAAGATCCAGACTGTTTACAATTGGTTGCATTTATTCATCAAGTTCCCTTGGATTTGCACCTATTTGCTTAATAAAGTCTTAATACTCAAAAATAAGGCCTCAGAATATTGCAAGTCTAAACAATTGATTAATTAGAGACAAATAGTGAGAATATATACATCATTAACAGCAGTAACTATAATTTAAATGAGCTAAATTACAGCGCGGCTCACCTTTAGCTTTGAGATCATGTTCTTTTCCGAATCGTCTGAGACGCTCTTGTTGGTGAGCAACCGTCGAGCCAGGTGCTGCTTGTAATACCTCTCAAACACATCCTTCTCCTGCATGAAGCGGAAGAGAACCATGGCCTTGTCCAGTATTGACTCCACCTCCTGCTCTGTAAGCTGAATTTAAAAAAGCAAAGCATAGACAAGGTAAGAAATCCAAGTAAATTTAAATAAAATCCTATATCAACCCTTTAATAAAAGAAATTGCCAAAGCATTAATCATCGTTTCTAATTTATTCAGATTCAGAATGATAACCAAAAAGGATGAACAGAGATGTGAGGCGATTAAGTGGAATAACTCACCCCTTTAACTCCTTTCTTCAGTTTGTCGTCGATGAAGAGCGAGAGGTATTCAGGTGAGCGGGAGTTGAGGTTGAGGAAGTATTCGAAATCTCCAGCAATAGTTTGTTTAAAGAGTCTGTCATTATTAAAAGATTCTTGGAGGAAACGGTCAAAACGCGACTTCAGGTCTAACAAACCCTGCAAGAAAGAGGAGGCAGAGCAAAAAAAGAGGGAAAATCAGCAAGCAGTCTGCAATAGCTGAGGTCTAATCTAGTTATCACACAATAAGAGGTAGGTGGAAGTAAATTAAAATCCCTTTATGGCCTCTAACAGCTTTAGAGGCAGTGTTTTTTTCTTCTCCATCGCCAAAAATATCTTCTTAACAGCTTTTTATTTCAATACATTTAAACAAAATCCCTTATGTTCATACCTGAATATAATCTACTGGATTTTTTCCTTCTCCCTCCTCTGAAACGAGGGCCTTGCCTTGCTCCCGCAGGTAGGAGCTCATACACTCACACATGGTCTTCAGCCCATTGGGAACTCGACTGAACAACTTGTACATACACGCTAAATCTGTGGACAGACAGAGTGAGGGGCCGGTCAGATGTTTACATATACACATACATTAATCATTTCTTGCTTTTAGGAGTGAACGTTGATCATAGGACATAATTAAAATAGTTTGAAAAACAATTTTTGGAAAACTTTTTAAATCAAAGCAGGGTTTTGTTTTTTTTCCTTATTCACGATTCAATTAGACTTGCACTGTTCAATCAGCAGCATTCGAGATTGGCAGATTTTCATGTGACGGGGCACGAACGGTGACTGGGGACTCATTATAAAGACCACTACACTGGTGGCGCCAGTGTACGGCAGCCTCGCTTCTATCAGTGAGCCCCAGGGCAGCTGTGGCTACAATGTAGCTTGCCACCATCAGTATGTGAGTGTGTGTGTGTGAATGGGTGAATGACTGAATGTAGTGTAAAGCGCTTTGGTCAAGTCTCCTGAAATGAAAAAGCGCTATATAAGTACAGGCCATTTACCATTTACCACTAATTTTAAGCGCCGATTGTTGTTAACAAGCTTTTCTCTGAGCGGACATGCATCTTTATTCTACACTTTGTCCATGTTTGTTTAGGTCAAAGTGCCCAAAACAGGAGGACAAACCATTCGATAACAGAAGATAGGTGAGATAGCACTCTGAACTCAGACGGAAGGGACATGAAATCAGTGTGAGAGCAGAGGGGACTGAGAGCATTGGGATGCGGGATGTGGCAGCCAGCCGAGCCGTCCTCTGGAGCAAAAAAACCAGGGCGGTAGATCTGAGGGGCCTGCAGGGCAGACAGCGGCAGTACGGGGAGAGGCTACGGCTGGCCTAGTCTAGCCTCTAGAGCAGTGTTTCCCAACCGAGGATATGTATACCCCTAGTGGTCCGAGAGAGCATTGCAAGGGGTATATGTAAATATTTTATTTCTTAGGTAGTAAAATAAAATAGGGCTCTGATCTGTTTTTTCTTTCTGAGGACTTAATTGAAAAAATAAACAAGCTTTGTTCAACCAAAAAGTACGTTTTTCCTATATGTTTGAGTTCATTTTCAGTCTTGTAGAGAACAGTCTGGGAACAGCTGTTGTTCACACTGAGCTATCAGAGCTCATCAAAGCAGCTCAGGTGTCTTGATAAAAACTAAACTAATTAAGTCAGTCTGACAATAATTTTTCTTCAGTTTTTGTTCCCAATTCCATTAGTTTAAATGTGATTATAAGTGAGTTACTAAGAGGATGTTTATAGAAAAAAAAACACCAAATATTTGGTTAATAAAGCACCATTTTTGAAGCCATCAAGAAAGTTCTGGTACATTTCTGACTCGATGTCTGACTCTGATTAAAGTCTTTCAACTTGTTGCTTTCCTGGAATTAACAGGGTTGAGGATGAAGCTTTGGGTTACGAGACTCCATCCAAAACCAGTTTTAAAATGAACTTGACAAAAAGAAAAGGGTCAGGCTAATCATAAACAAACAAAGAACCACCAAGGCTCCAGCTAATCGCAGTCTGTAAGCTGCTGGAAGGATAGTGATGCCATCCATTGTGAGGCAGGTGGATCCAGAATCATTTCGAATATCAGATTAAGCAGAAGGAAACATTAAGGACCAACTTCCAAAGTTTAACTTAACTTTGCAGCTAAATGATTAAACAAACATTATAGAATGGATCAAGTAGCCAAACATTGAGAATCTGGGATTGCCTGTATGGAGAACAACTACCAGCCAGGTCTGCGCCAGCAAACCAATCAACTATAATTGACTGGTTCAATATCCAGCTAGATGTTCAATATCCAGTTAGGTATGCTGGCGTCTAAACAAAAAACAAAACAAAAAAAAAACAAAAAAAAAAAAACTGGGAAAATTAAACCACACATTAGAAGTGATATATGGAGATATTTAAGGCAGTATGTATTCTCGTTTTACCCTGCGTGGATTTGAGAAACCTTAAGATTAAGACACTTCTAGTTTACTTCCACCACTAACCTAACTCTGCTGCCTATTGTTGGTTGAATAAAGTCAGGTTTATTACATTTGGTAGTGATGGCTTCACTAATTTCTCATAAAAGAAAGTTGTTTATCTTTTCTTCACTCTGCTATGATATCAAACAGAGAGGATAAGATTAATTGGCCTATTGGTGAAATGAGAACATTCTTTTCTTACTTTGGAGAGTCCATGGCATTCAAAGGGAACGCTAGAACAACCTGAAAAACTCCAAACCTATCAATACTAACATAGTTGGCTACGAGGTGATATACAAACACAGCAATATTCACCCTTTACCCCTGCTAATGCATATGGAGATGACACCAGTCTTTTATGACTTTATTTAATTATATACAGAGTTACCGTCTTCAGCCACAGCACAGCCACAAACCATTCCATCTCCAACTCTTGCTTCCACTCTGAGCAGAAACCAACAAAAATGGCGGCTTTCCCGGTTTTATCAAGATTGGTAGTTAATGCACAGCTTACCGCTCTAAACTATTACTTCCTATTCATCTGCCATGCAAAATAAGATTGTTTTAATAATTGCGGCACGTGTCAGTTTTATTCTGACAACATGGCTCCACCCTTACCGTCAGTCTTGCCATTCTTCAGCATATGGACCAGGCCTGAGTTCTCCATCTCCACGATAGTCTTCATGTGCTTTGAAATGAGCTCTCGTTCCACCACCTTAACGATGGGCTCCTCTGTCGATTTATCCAGGCAGTGCATTACCCGCTCAATCTCCTCGTTAATTCTGGCCTCAACCTTCTTAATGTACACACTCGCACTGTTTTCTGCAAGGAACTTTTGGCTCTCCATCTGAACGAAGAAAAAAAGGAATCTACATCAGCCATGAATCACAAACTCCTGTGTGTATACGACTGCCCCAGGAAAAGAAATAAAGCAAAGCTTTAATTTAAACAATAAAACTAAACAAGAGAATTTAAATACAAACCTGGAAAAATTCTGCAGACATTTCCAAGAACGGCGCTTCAAAATCTTCTTCATAAACAGATCTTCCTTCAAGGCCGAGAATCATTAACATTTGGCAGGCATTTCTGATGGCCCCCCTGAAGCAGAGCAGAAGCACACCAACACTCAGCAACATGAAAGAAAAAACAGATTGATTTTAAAACGAAGAGAAAAGAAAAAACTTCTAAGGGTGTTCATTTCACTAACTATGGCCACCAGCCAGATTTTCATTATTCATTCATTCTTTATTCTGAAAACTATGCACCCTCCACAGCTGGAGGTTCAGGGAGCTAAATATTTTACAATGTCAGAAGCTTTAAAGATTTCCCCAAAAGGCAGAAAGGCGAGGGATGTTTAACAGCTCCTTTATTTCTTACTCCTACAGAACATAACCTCTATCTTTGATCACAACTACACCATCCTTAATTAGACCCAACCTCATGCATTTATCTACAAGCCAAATCATTTATTAGGTAGTGATATTGAATGAGTAATGCTTCTATACCTGTCCACCACTTCCCCCTTCCTCTCTCGTGCTATCATGTCCAGCAGGGTCTGTCGAAGGTGGTCTCTGATGCAGCCATAACGAACCACCTGATCCCTAAAGATGATGAGCCCCAGGTTGTAGACGTTTTCAACATTGTTTTGCTGCACATAAACTCGATCCTTTGGCACAAAAAACAAACAAGAGAGTTAAAAGTATTGCGGAGAGACTGCACAAAATTTTCTGTTTTAAGAAACAACTTGGTCACTAGACTCTTCAAATGTCACTACAGTAAATGTGTGGTATCTCTGTTATATGTTGATTTTCTGCAGCGGATAGGACTGCAGGGACAACTTGAAATGATTTATTTTGGTAATGTCTTTCAATTAATTCATTGAAATATTAAAAGCTGGTGTATTTGTTCCTTTCTGGTCAGTGTTTATCCAACAGCGGTGACTAATAAAGATGGCACAGGCAGTGGGTGGTGGAGACGGAGTTACATGACCAACAAGGAGCAAAAAGCAGTGATCATTTGTCCGAACGTAAAGTTAACTGGGTTCGCCATAAGGTCACTATATAGTCCCCACTCTACATAGCAACTGAGGGATTTAGGGGGCGGGGTTACTGCAGACATTCGGGCACAGTAAGATTGTACGAGCTATGAGACCAACAACTTTAAAAACAGAGCTTGGGGTTGTGTATGTGCATTTGTTTTTAAAGTGAGAGGGCAGGTCTTTTCAAAAATGGACTATGGCTGCATAATTAAATGTATTTGCAATATAATTTCAATGTGACAGTTTCATGTGCTTTCATTCGCCTGACATGTCAGCTGAAATTTGCCTGGCCAGCGGAAGTCATTTGGACAGCAGGAAAAGGCTCCACGTCGTCATCAAATCTAAAAAAGTTAGCAGTTTCATCTCAACATGATGGACCTTGATTTTACAGAGCGACTCATCGTGCTTTATTTACTTTAGAAGCAGAACAAAGCCCCCAGCGTCTCTGCATCTCTCATGCTCCCAGTTAGCGATTCAAGGAGCAACTGTTGGATCCCAGCCGCTTTCTATGTAGCTTAAGGTAGGTGAAACAGTGTTGTGGAGCTCAGACATCAAAGCAAGAACCCCGTCAGAGAGAGCACCTGAACCGGGACAAGGTGACCAACTGTGCCCTCCTTTGGAGCTAAAGAAACATTGTGGTATATCGGAGTGGCCCCCTGTAGAGAGCATCAAAGTGGGGAGAGACAGCGGATGACCAGTGTCTGTAGTCTTTCTAGTCTAGTCTTTCCTAAATTAGATGACAATTATTTCAATAATTGATTGATCTGATCGTTTTAACCCTAGATGCACTTTTCAAAAATTGCTCCAAATACGATGCTGGTTAAACAAGAAGTTGAAACATCTCATGAGGCTTTTCATCTATTGATGAATGCTCTGATGTTCCTGCTGTTATTTTAACTGCAGCAACACCTTCTGTATCTGCTAAGCTTGTCAAAATAATCAATACCTCGATATTGTCAATTCTGAAAAGAAAAAGGAATTAATCAAAGATAATAATTTAAGTCAAACACATTTAAATAGCACATTTCGTGGCAAGACAATTCAAAGTGGAAAGATAAAAAAGTACAATGCAGTGGCATAAAAGCAAAACAAGTAATCAAAAGAGAATAAAAGCTCCACTCCTTTTCCTTCAATGCGTCATCAGATAAAAGGAGCTTCTACCTGCTGCTTGCCTGTTTTAACTCAGCATGACAGACCTGCTGGACCGAGCAAGTCACAGTGAAGAAAATAAGCATTTGAATACCCTGCTATTTTGCAAGTTCTCCCACTTAGAAATCATTGAGGGGTCTTTCACCGTAGGTGCATGTCCACTGTGAGAGACATTATCTAAAAGAAAAAAGAAAAAGAAAAAATCCAGAAATCACAATGTATGATTCTTGAAGTATTTGTTTGTATGAGCTGCAAAGAAGTATTTGAACAACTTAGAAAGTCAAGGTTAATGTTTGGTACAGTGGCCTTTGTTTGCAATTACAAAGGTCAAACATTTTTCACCAGGTTTGAACACTTCAGGAGGGATTTTGGCCCATTCCTCCACACAGATCTTCTCTAGATCAGACAGGTTTCTGGGCTGTTGCTGAGAAACACAGAGTTTGATCTCCCTCCAAAGATTCTCTATTGGGTTTAGGTCTGGAGACTGGCTAGGCCACGCCAGAACCTCATTGATTATCCTGGCTGAGTGCTTTGAGTCATTGTCATGTTGGATAACTCAGCTTTTGACCCCTCCTCAATACTCTGAGGGAAGGTTGTTCCCCCAAATCTCGCAATATATGGCCTCAGTCATCCTTAATACAGCGCAGTCACCCTGTCCCATGTGCAGAAAAATACAGCACAGCAGGATGCTACCACCCCCATGCCTCACAGTAGGGATGGTGTTCTTGGGATGGTTCTCATAATTCTTCTTCCTCCAAATAGGGTAAGTGGAATTATGTCCAAAAAGTTTGATTTTGGTCTCATCTGACAGCATGACTTTCTCCCATGACTCCTCTGGATCATCCAAATGATCATTGGCAAACTTAAACAGGCCTTGACATGTGCTTGTTTAAGCAGAAGAACATTCTGTGCCATAGATGATTTCCAACCATGACTTCTTGGTGTATTACCAACAGTAACCTTGGAAACGGTGGTCCCAGTTCTTTCAGGTCATTGTCCTGCTCTTCCCGTGTAGTTCGGGGCTAATTTCTCACCTTTCTTAGGATCACTGAGGCCCCACGAGGTGAGATCTTGTTTGGAGCCTCAATCCGAGGGACATTGACAGTCATGTTTAGCTTCTTCCATTTTCTAACGATTGCTCCAACAGTGGAACTTTTTTTTCCCCACCAAGCTGCCTGGCAATTTCCCCGTAGCCCTTTCCAGCCTTGTGGAGGTGTACAATTTTGTCTCTAGTGTCTTTGGACAGCCCTTTGCTCTTGGCCATGTTAGTAATAGGATTCTTACTTACTGCATGGGGTGGACAGGAGTCTTTATGCAGCTAACGCCCTCAAACAGGTGCATCTAATTTAGGATAATAAATGGAGTGGAGGTGGACATTTTGAAGGTAGACTAACAGGCCTTTGACGGTCAGAATTCTAGCTGATAGACAGCTGTTCAAATACTTATTTGCAGCTGTAAGATACAAATAAATAGTTAAAAAAAAGAAATCATATATTGTGATTTTTGGATTTTCAGGGTTCCTACAGCATAAGGCAAGTTAAATTCAAGACTTTTTAATGCCACTTGAAATAAAAATGTAACACCAAATTCACAAGAAACACAAGAAAAACCTGCTTGCGACAACTTAACCCAAAGGTTTATTTTGACATAAACCACTGCACTGTTTCAAATTTTGAAAAGCTTCCCATACAGGAAAAAAGCTAAAAACACACAAATGAGATAGATTTTAACAATTATTTAACTGAATTCACAAACTTTGTTTTAGCAGGGAACAAAACAAATCAGTTTTAAAGCCACAACATAACCAGTGCTGAGTCTTTTTTGCAGCTATATTTCTTTGTATCGTTTTCTTAGTATTTTTGATTTGGTGATAAGTGGAGGCGTTGCAGAGACGAGGGTGGAACTAAATTGAGAAATACCGGCTGTTTCTCAGTAACTGGATTTTGAAGCTTTGTGTTTCGCGCTTCGCATGTGCGACTCCACTGCCTTAATTCACATCGTTCCGAGCTTGAATGACTTCTTGCACAAAATACACTGTGCCTCATGTATGTTCCCTGGTTTTAGCCACGGAGAAAACTCTTGGCTGGATAGCCAATTTTCGTTACATTTACACTTGCTCATATTTTCCAGACAAAAAGTTAATGGCGCATCGCCTAAATGTCCTGGCCGCAACAGCGCTTTTATTGGTTCTGCTATCCGGACGTAACCAATAATGGCAAGCCTTTATTTTTATTTTATTTTTTTTATATATATAAAAAATAAAATAAAATAAATAGTCAATTTTAACGTTTTATTTAGATTACAAAACTAAATCGTAATAAAAATAATACTATTTATGATGTTTTAAAAATTAAAACCTACGAAAGACTGATTTAAGACATTTTAATACCAATTAAGGCCTTAGTTTTATTTTGAAGAATCCAATGCCTTTTAAGACTTTTTAAGGACCCGCGGGAACCCTGATTTTGTCTCTCACAGTGGACATGCCCCTACAATGACAATTTCAGACCCCTCTGTGATTTCTAAGTGGGAGAACTTGCAAAATAGCAGGGTGCTCAAAAACTTATTTTCCTCACTGTATCATAAAAGGCCAAACAGAATGGGGTATATTGCTCTATTATTTTTTAGAAGGAGAAACTGAAAAACAAACTGTTTCTGTGCAGAGTCCAGGCCTGCCACGACAGATTCAAAAGCTCGAAGCAAGTTCTAGAACCAGATTCGCTTAGAACAAGCTCGGTGAAAAGAAAAAAAGAAAAAAAGGATTTGACACTTAAAGCTCAAATCAACATGTAAATGCTGCAAACCTAGAAGCAAGAATAGAAGCATTCTCACTGTTGGGAGGACAATATTAGATCTGACTTTACACTGAACTGTTTTATCTTTATGTTAAGAGCAGGAAGTACTCACCATGTACATGAGGATGTCTCTGATCATCACCATGGCGGTCTGGTGGTCGTTCCATGCTTGATTTAGTGTTTGGAGGAAGTTATTGTTTAGGGAGTTCAGGACATCTTCTCGTACCTTTAGGGAAAATACAAAAAAGCTGTTAGTGCTACATTAGGATTCAGCAGCATGAGGGACTCAAACAAAATATAACCATTTTTCCCCACTATCTAAAAAAGGGAAAGGACATGAAACAATGTGACAGCTGTGATTTGTTTTTAGCGCAGCCTTTTATCACAACCCTTCCTGCAGGTAGACAGCAGGCTGATACCAGCCACACTGCAGTGTGACTCAGCACTGTAAACTCAGGGCCTCTAAAGAGGGAAAAACTTCAGGGCACGCTGACCTTCCCGGTTTCTCTTTTAAGGCAGAGATGAGGAAATAGCAGCAGATCTACAACTGCTAGGCTCGTTTCACCACTTTATCTACACTGAAAAAAATTATCTTAAGTAATTTTTTCTTAAAATAAGTGCATTTGTTCTTGAATTTAGGAGGTAAGACACTTTGCCTATGGGACAAGACATTTTACATTTCAAATAGGAAAAGAAAAAACAGTTGCATTGTCTTATTTCAAGAACATATTATCTCACTATCTTATTTCAAGAGTAAAAATACTCATTCTATTGGTAAATCATCTTATTTACCTACTCAAATTAATGGTAAATACACCTAATTTAAGAAATGTTGACTTATTTATAGATCATTTTTGCAGTGTAACCGTCTAAAAAAACAAACAAAAAACAATTAGATTGTAGGAGACATAGAGGATATCCTTTTGCAAGTTAAAAAGGTTGATGTTATAACGCCAGTTTTTAAATAGATTATTATTTTATGTGTGCAACTATAGTTCCCCATGGTTTGATATTATTTTTATTGTAATAAAAATATAAATAGCTACAAAGACGCATTAGTGTAATGTAATGACTTAGCATTAAATCATAACAAATTTTTACCAATTTTTCAAATAGGGGACCTTATTTAAAAGAAGAAATTCAAAAAGTAAAACATTTTTATATATAAAGAAAAAAGATTCTGAGCGTACAGCTGCACCATGTTGATATGAATGTAAAAATATTACAACATCAGTTAGAAATTAGATTTTATAAAATCTTCTCTGCCTCATCTTTAGTTTGTTTGGTACAATCATGTAACAGGATGGGGCATCTCCTGCAATCAAAAACTGGATCTAATCAAAACATTTCCTCTCAGTCCTGGTAGAGTCACATGCAAAACAGATATAAAGGGGCCCCCAGTTGGAAACACCTCCCATCCTTTCAGCCAAACTGGCTATAACTGACAGAAGAGGAAAATTCCAAAAGGGCACTTTTCGATTTTGAACAGCATATTAAAAAAAATCCTACATTAATTTAATAAATCGATCTGTCAGAATTCATCAGTGCAGATTTTCAAGCTGAAATAACAGGGTTTATACATTAATGAGTAACTCTTATTTAATGCTTTTTAATGCTCTTTTAATGCTCTTAGAAAAAATCTTAATGCCGTCAACAAGTACCCATGACTTGGCCAGGACAGGCTGCACTCATGTCCCGAGTTCCTCGTTTTCTCGCCACTTTGGTTCAAATTTGCATTTTTCCCCATTCTCTAGCCTTTTCTCCACCTCAAACTTCATTTCTAAAGCATTTTAAATGCCACGATTATAAACTTTATTTAATTTTAATGCCAATTAAGGCCTTAATTTAAAAAATAATAATTTAATGACTTTTAATGATTTTTAATGACCCGCAGAAACCCTGAATTGAAATAACTATTACCGTCAAACTGGTGGGTGGTTTTCATTGCTACTTAGCATTAATGTTTATATTCTTTTAAGCAGTATGTACTCGATATCCTGATTAAAGTTTTTTAAAATGATCTATTTTAGAGTTCCTGAAACAAACTTGAGGTCCACACTTTTTTATAAACCATTTTCGGTAGCCTTAAGTCAATCCATATAGCCCCTTCTTTTGAGGGGCTGTATATTTTCATTAATTTGAGGGCTAAATTATAAGGTGGTTATTTAAATGTTTTTTTCGAAAAATGAGACAGTATTAACTGCTGCAGCAGATAATACTAGGAATCACTGGCTTTTCAAACACGTCCACCACAGACGGGGTGGGGATGTTCGGTGTCTTTTCTTCATTGCTTCACTTTGCGTGCTCAACAACATTTCTACGTGCTGTGCTGTTTTTTGCGTCACTATCACAAGTTTCAACCATGTTGTAACGGTGTTCCCAAAACACTCTGGCTGCAATAGGCCTTCTGAAAAACTATGCATGCTTAAGTGGCACATTATAGTACCTTTCTTACCCTAATATTTCCTAAGTAAGAGTCATATAATGAAGCTGTTCTGTAGAACTTCTGGCTCACTCAAAATATCAGATGCTGCAGAACCATGGATCATACATGACCCAGCAAACAGGGACATCATCAAAAAGCTGTTATGGACCAAGAAGCTCCGCTGAACTTGTAATTTCCAAGTATAAACATGGTAGCAAATTCATTAAGACATTAGCTGAAAGGTGCTCAGCATTTATGAGAAATAACCTCCATGAAAAATCCCAGATCTGACCCTTGAGAAATTCACTGTTACCTTAAGTATAATTGAACCTTAAATCCTACAAATCACATGCTTTAAAGTAGGGCTGAAACAACTAAAATTGGATAATGGTTAATCGATTATCAAAGTAATCGTCAACTAATTTAGTAATGATTAATAGTTAACTAAATTATAGAGAGTCTAAAACATGCCCTTAACTGAGAGAGCAACCCTCTTAGAGCAGTAATTATAAGAAAACTGTAAAAACATATATCAATATTTTGCATTTGAGATTAAAAAAAAAAACATTTTAAGGTCTATCAAAATGAGGTATCCAGAACTCCACAAGTGGAAACGTTTAGTTTGACCTGGTTTAATTCGGTTAAAAAATCTTTTGATATCAGATTGTTAATTGATTAATCAAAAAAAGAATCAACAGATGAATCATTTAGTAAAACAATCGTTAGTTGCAGTCCTACTTTAAAGCACAACTGAAGACGTTTCTGCTTAGCTACCAGATGTGCATAAACTTGTCGTATTGGTGATATTTAACTCTCAGAGAAGCTGTATACGAAAAAGAAATTGATTACTGTTTCAGGATGTCATTACCAAAAACAATAATATTGACTATTGCTCTTTAGAGACATGGTAACTACTCAGTAATGATTAAAACTGGACCAAACAAAACCTGAACCCTCCCCCCAAAATAAAATCAATACATCGTTACAGATATAAATTCATAAACCTGGTTTCTTCCTCATTAACCATAAGAAAGAGGAACTTGTCCTCTAAGGTCTGTAATTCAACAGGACTTGTGTAATAAAATTTTAATTGCACTTAGCAAACATTTAGACTATGCTACTGAATTACACCTGAGGCAGCAAATTTATGAATCCAATGAGAGGATATACTGTTTATTTGTTATGCAGACCATGTTATAAATCCCAATAACCCCTGTCTGCTGAGTTTTAAAGCCTGGGATGATTCAGAAAATAAACAGAGCCTCCTGATAAAAAGCGCCTGAATCTTTTAGACAGATCCATTAAGAGCATAGATCATACTATCAATATTGTTTTGTTCTTAGCTGCTGTCAGTGACAGCGAGAGACCAGTCTGCACATAAACCTAGCACAACAGAAAAGCTCTGAACTGTAATGAGCAGTAATAAGGAAGAGTCATCAGGAGAACCTCTGCAGACTAAAAAAGGTCCAAAAACATACGATCACAAACACCACAAAGCTAAAAAAAAAAAAAAATCTGACCTTAAAAAGCTACAGTAGGCAGATTAAACGACAGTGTGAAAACTACACCCTTCCCTAAAACAAAGAGTTGTCAGCCCATAAAAAACAGCCCCAAAAAGACAAAAAATAAAGATCGCAAACTGCGTTTAATTTGTTAGCTAGGTGGTTACACTTCCACATTTCTACATGATCTGGGTTGCATTCTGTGCCACCTATAAACATCCCTGTGCAACATTCAGAGGCCAGCAGCATACCCAGCCAGCAAATTCAGCCTAAAAACTAATATAGCAAAACCTAGTTCAAACATTTAAATAACTTATATTTTAGAAGGTCTTGTTGAGACTAATATGAGATAAAGATGACAAAAATAAATCCCAAGCAGCACCTTAGCAGCACCTTTTACGTTTTGAAAAAGAACCGGTTGTTTAGAGTTGTTTCGTCTGTCAGAACCAGAGTTGCTTTAGAGGCTATAAGTCTCACCCAGAAAACCTTTTTGGCACCTACTGCAGACAGTGGTAACTGTGGGTGTAAAGCAGAGAACAACTCAAAGGCTGATAAATATCTCGTGAACTCAAAACGCAACTAGACAGAGTTCTAAATTTTTCATCCAATCTGCCACCACTTGACCTTTAGACTCCTTTGCAGTCCTTTGCTTATGCAGTGTCCTGTCGTCTTACTTTGTTAATGAGATGTTCTGTGACAACTTCCCGCAGGCCCGTGTACAGTTTTTCTCCATGCTTGTGCAGCACCATTGTGTAGGCATTCCTGTAAAGTTCCTCAAAGCTCAGGCCGCTGTTGTTCTTCCTCTGTATTTCCTGGATGGCATTCTTTAATAGATCCCAGATATTGTTGACATATTTCTCATCCATCGTCATCTGTGGAAGAAGAGTATGAGACATAACCATTTAGGCATTTATCAACTAAATGAAGTACAGAATATGACATTGGTGGGTTTTTGAGTAATCATCTTCAAGTTCTTGTCTGTGTATAATGCCCTGATTTATAGTTTATGTAATGAATAAGAGTATTTGGTAAGGGTTTGCTGACAAAGAGATCCAACTAACACCAGATTACCTCACTATTTTGACAGAGGATAAAAACCTCAATGGTAATTGAGTTTAAAATTGAATTTAAACAGTCCTAGTCTTTTTTTGTTTGATTGTTGAGTCAATTCATACCACAAAGTTTTGTAAGGTATCCTAAGATATGTTTGGTATGCTGTTACAGCTGATGATAGTTGTTGTTGTTCTTTCATTCTCTTTGTCTCCTTTACTACCAAAGAACTGCAGGGTAACCCAATCAACTCCAGACTTCGATTCCTATACTGATCAAACAGATAATTTTTCACTTGACAAATCTTTGATATTCAACTGCTGTCAGACTCTTCTGAATTTACTGAGACAGATAAGAAAGAATTCCTAATCCAAATATCGTAAGGATAGTGGGTATCAATCACAGCAATGAAGTCCAAATAGAATAAATCCTCAAGTATCTTCAAGCAGGGTCCAAAATTTACTTTTAATATAGCCATCAGGGCACTCAGTGGCTATGGCATGGGTTGTTACAATTGAGCCTGAGGCATGGACATCCAGCGCTTGTGGCATTTACTGTGTTTATTTTAATGGATGTTTTACAGTTAAATGTCTGTTCACTTTTGCATATTTGTTGCACACCGAGCAGCTGATTAGCTTAGAATCATCGTGCTAAATAAGCCAGTGTCATGCGAAACACAAGCCGTTTCTCAATATGTGTACTTGTGCGTTCTCATGTGCTCATGTACTTGTGAAACGTCCTCAGCTCTAGTACTGTTCCAATTCACAAGAACAGCAGACAGAGAACAGACAAAGTCCATTGATGTTGTTCTCGCCCCTCACTATTTACCCAGCATGCATCAGAGCAGACCTGTCCGTTCTTGAGACTGACAGCCGTCCCAGCATGCACTGCGGCAGCAGTAGCTTTCAATGGAGCGCTAACAGAGGCTCAGAGCATTAAGTTATTTAAGTAAAAGTTCTCTTTTCTGTTGCTGTTGTTCAATAAAAGTACATTTTAAGATCATTTGAGGCGAGAATATTATAATTTAAAGCATCACTATATGGTCCATTTACCGATTGAATGCGTCATTTTTTAAAAAATATTTGAGAGGACCGCGGCAACCAGCGGACATCCGAGGGTAACAGCAGCCAGGGCTAACCGCAGCCCGTCTATAGCAGCCTTCTCTCGGCATAGCCGTGTGTGAAGTACTGTTGGCTCTGCTGGTGATTTTTTTTGTTTTATTTGGCAAAATGTTAATTTGATTTGTGTTTATCTGTATTCATTATTATTCCTCCCAATAAATGAAAAAAGTTATAACTTATTATTATCTAAAGACTATTAATAACAGGAGGTGGAATGCAGCTCTAGAGGAGCTGAGCGTGTGGTGACGTCGCGAGTACGCTTCTGTTCCAATTAACCCATATTTATGCTGCATGCTCCTGTTCTCGCCAGGTCCATACCTTCCTGTGTTCTTTTCAAGAACATATTTGGCGTGGACACGAGTCCGTACTTGCGTTCTAGTGAATTGAAAACGGCCACAGTCTTCCCAAAAGCGCCATTCATCAATAAACTCCCTCCTCCTCATCGGCATTTTCTTTTAGAAGGCTTTGTTGCTCCACTGGTTTAAATTTTATAAACCACCATTAATAAAAGTAAACTTTGAGATATTTAATCACATTTTCGAAAAGAATCTTTATAAGCTTTCTTATAATCATTTTTACAAAACAATCAACACTTATCATAGACTAATTTACTTTATGAAGTCTTTCCCTACACCTGCAATGACTTTGATAGTCCTGTTTTTGAAATGGTAGTAGGAAATTATTTCAGGGTTGTTCTTGGTAATAACATTAATGTCTGGACTTCTTAATATAATCGCACATTGTAATATCTCCTAGGAATTTTATTTTTAGTCTCTTTGAAGGCTTCTTTTTTTCTTTTTTAAATCACTGCCCAGTATAGCAATTTGTCTCTGACGACTAAGACCAGAGTTAGCAGGCTGGATAAAGTGGAGGATAAGATTTCAGGGAGGAATCAGGTACAGGTTGTGAACTTTCCAAATAGGAAAGTGCTGATAAAGACCCTCTATGTCATGTTATCATACCTCATTAGAGACCTCCAACTTTTATCCATCAGCTTACCACTATAAAGTGCAAGAAGATCAAGCACAGGAAGTGCATGCAGATATTGTTATGAATTAAGGTAAAAACCAGATCAAAGTAGGGCTGCTATCTGCAAGCATAATATATGACGATTGGGTATTATATATCTAACCTTTGATGCATATCTACCAAGGAAACTAAATGTAGATGCTGTAGTTAAGTTAAAAGATAAAAGCAAAATGACAATCTGAAAAGAGGCATCTGGACTTTTATCTGTTTGTTTGCAGTGCTTATGTAACACAACCAGCCTAATTCATATAGGTCTCTGAAGTTAACATATAGTTATTTGGTTGGTAAAATGCAATATAGAGATTGTTTAGTGCATGCCATTTATCCAGGCAGCTCAATATTGAAATATGTTGCTAATAAAGAACCATTGATACAAGAACAACAACAATGGATGCTTCTTCAAACTGACAGGCTCAAACATATGCATGTCAGACCCTGTCTAGACAGAGTTAACACTCAGAATATGTAGAAGAGCTGGTTGCAGTGACACAATCAAACAATAAAACCAATGTCACAATAGGTGCATCTTAAATGACCAGAAAAATATAATCCAGACATATGCATTCTGGAATATGGATGAATAAACCAAATACTCCCACAATCTGGTTCTTTTGCAAAACGAGGTCAGCTTGGTAATTATATGTTTAGGTTACTTACAGAAAAAGACAACGTTCTGGTAGAGAAGGACAGACATTAGATATCATTTTGGTCATGAAAAGACAGAGAAAGCTGAAATGCCAGCAAGACAAGAACCTGGATTTAGGTTAGCGGATTTGGATTTTGTTAGCATCCATCAAGTAGCTGTGGATGCGCAGCTAATGGCTCAAAAATTAAACCCCTGCTCGTTTAAGAGCAAGAACGAAGATTTTCGGTGTGTTTTATCGTGACTTCATACAAGTGATATCCATATAAACAATAAGTATTCAAAACAACAAGTGTCAAGAGGAGCGAGTAATAGGTTAGCATCGGCTACGCCGACTGAATGTATTAGCTAGCGCCCGATTTAGGAGAGATGCATGACCGTTTAGAGAAAAATAAAACGATAACTTAACAGGTTTAAAGGTGAAATTTTTATAATAAAGTGGGCACCCAACTACACGACAACAACCACTGCTGACGGGACATATGATGGCTGCAGTTTGTTTACGGTTAGCCAACTCGTATGAGCCACTCAGCTGCTCGGCCTGCTCTCATTTAGCCAACAGATGAGACCGCGATGATCGAGTGAGAACCCGGCGGACAGCCGGAGCACCTGCTGCGGTGTGCACTTACAGGAAAGGCCCGTATCCTCATTTTGGTGTCCTTCTTGGTGCCGCCTTTGCTGAGATTGGACATGTTTGCCTAATCCGTAGGCTCTGTTTTCACATGAAAGTGTTCTTCGGGGAAGGGACAGGGGTGGATATGGTTTGAGGAACAGCTGACGAGCTTTCCCTCAACCCCGCAGCTCTGCGTCCCGCACCGCAAGTTTTTTGTTGACAGCTAAACGCCAGGCCAGATAACTCTTCATACAGCAATGGCGAAATACCTGCAGCGCTCCCTGCGCTGAGATCACGTTCTATAGATAACGCGAGAACTTCGGCCAAGAATTTAAAATTTTGACCAATTTTGTTGCAACTTGTTTAGTCTAGTTAATCAAAGACATCTTTATTATAAGAGTTAAAATCTTTTTTATACCTTACTTTAGTGTAACAGGGATTTTTCCCTCAGTTTCATTTGAATTAAAAAAAAAATGTATTTGATCTTAAAATCTTGTGGCATCTATCCATCCGTATGTCTGTCTGTCTGTCTGTCTGTCTGTTTATCAATCTTTTTTCCTTCTTTTATTGTCATTACACTGTCATAGTACAGAGCAACGAAATTAACTGTGCATTTAACTCATCCATTCTTCGGCACCTAGGAGTGGGGTTAAGGGCCCTTTTTGACACCATACTTGCATTCAGCAATCCCTAGTTTAATTTTACAGCTAAATGATTATTCTAGTAGACTTGAAGCTTTTTTTTTAAGAGCAATTGCAATCTATTTTGTCGATTACCCAAAATATGCTTTTTTTTGTATTTGTAAAGGTACTTTTGCACTACACATATCTTTTATAATTTTGCTCAAAATGGGAATTAGTTTATCTTTTAATATAACAGGTTACCCACAGAACCAGAGCTGATTGCGGCTCTGGAGTCCCCAGATATAGCAGATTAAAAAGGGGTGCACTGATTTGTCGGTCCCCGTTTCCTTTATTTTGGGAGGTTGGCCCATTCATGAAACCAATCTTAAGACAAACCTTATCTACCTACGCAAAGGTCTAATAATCAGCAACTATCAATGCTCCAAACATCTCACTTGTTTGAGGGTTTTTTATTGTTACATAGGTGTATTTTTTAGATATGGGTTTTTATATTTCTCCTGCTCTCTGTGTTAGATGTTCAATTATTCATCTGCCTCCTTTAGTGATAATGGTATGTGTAATAACTGAAGTATTTGTTTAGCTTTGGAAGCGAGGGTGTCAGAGTTCTGCAACCGCACACATCAAATGTCGCTTGGGTCTGGTGGTGAACCAGTTTTGCTGGTGTGCTTCTGCACAGTCGGTCTGGAATTTCAAGGGATGCACAGAAGTTTCCCGCCAAAGCGCAAGGGGGAGCCTATTGGAGAACTCACGAGAACTTCGATAGATTGTACTTACGAACCTCCTTGATTAACCTTTCGTCGTAGTTGTCCATTGTAGTTGTTCCTCGGTTTTTAAAAATGGGGTGCCCCGGCACCGAATCAAGAAGGACGACCACACAGACAACTGGAAAGGCATACCAAGGACCAATCACAGCTGCTTTTTGTCTGTGCACTTCTGTTTGAGGTCTGCGTGGGTTTGCAACCATCCTACGAGTAGTCAGGATATTTTTTTGAGGTGCGCGACGACAGTTGCCGAACCTCTGCACAGGGGGCGTGGTTACACAGAGACAGATTTGACGGTTGCAGAGGCTATGCGTCAGAAGCATCAATTTGCTTTTAGAGTCCCGGCTTCGGGCTGTCGGACATCATGGAGTTAGAGTAGGCCCATTTCTTAACAGCCTGGAGGCACAGAGACCAGGGATACGTCCACATAGTGATCCTCCAACAGTGTCTGAGCAGCCAGGTGATTGGGTAACGGTACGCAGAAAGCATAGTCATGGATCTCTGGTTACCACCAACCCATCTGTGTTTCTAACTGATTTTGCCCACTCAGTGACACACCCACTGGGAAGCCTACTCTGGTGACTAGCATCTCCATAGTCAGAGACGTGGCATTAGAGAAACCAGTGACCATAGTCAAACGTTTGCCGGTGGCCAGGACGAGCTACATCAAATCCTACCTGAAACTGCTGGCTAGGGATAAGGTAGAATATACAGTAAGGTTGTTATTTATGCTGGGGGTAATGACACCCGGTTACGCCAATTTGAGGTCACTAAAATCAGTTTTGCTTTGTTGTGTAAGTTTGCCTAAACATTGTCAGTTTCTGTAATTTTCTCTGGTCCCCTCCCTGATCTGACCAGTGATTACATGTTTAGCCACATATAGCCATTCAACCGCTGGTTGTCTAGGTTTTGTCCTGAAAAACGTTGTAAACTACATTGATAAATGACAATAATTTTGGGGAAAATGTGGTCTAATTCCGAGAGATGGCATCCATTGCACTTTGAATGGTGCAGCTATTCTTTCTAGAAATCTGGCCACATTTATTAGTCCTCCAAAGCTCTTAAAACCCAGGGTGCAGACCAGGAATCAGAGTTGTAGTTTAACACACCTCTCTGCAGCTTCTCTACTGTTACCCGCTCATTACTCCATCCAGTGTCTGGCCCACGACCAAAATCAAATTAATTAGAAAAGAATCCATCCATCCATCATCTGACATGCTCCCCTGAGTTGGATCGCAAGGGGTGCTGGTGCCTATCTCCAGCAGTCAATGGGCAAGAGGCAGAGTACACCCTGGACAGGTCGCCAGTCCATCACAGTGCAACACAGGACAAACCACCATTCACGCACACACTCACACCTAAGGACACTTAAGAGAAGCCAATCAACCTAACAGTCATGTTTTTGGACTGTGGGAGGAAGCCAGAGTACCCGGAGAGATCCTACACATGCTGAGGTAAAACATGCAAACTCCATGCAGAAAGACTGGGCCGGGAATCAAACCCAGAACCTTATCACTGTTTTTGCCTTAATCCATAACACTGCTGGTGTCGAGAAGGGTGCTGGTGCCTATCTCCAGCTGTCAATGGGCGAGAGGAGAATAAATCATAATAATCAAAATAAAATTTTAAATAACTCCAATCAGGGAAAAAGTTAAAACAATTAAATATAGTTTATTTTACATTACAACTCTTTCTTCAAAACATCTGTTAGTTAATGACTTGATTTGGCTCAAATTGATTTATGTGTCGTAAAGAAACTTCACTGTAGTAAGAGGATTATGTGAGCATTAATGAGGAAACTCACTCTAGTTATTGAAATTTTCACCTACCAAGAAATTTTCATCTTCATACTTTTGACCTTGTGCTGACATATGGCATTGAATATGAAGAAATAACAGTATTTCCTCACAACCCTGTCCTCTCTTACCAATTTTTAGGAAACTTAAAATTACTTTTACAGAGTTTTCCTACCCCAAAAGAAGGTTTCACTTTAGCAGATCATCATCAGATAATGCAGTAATGTATTTTAAAGAATCTGTCTTATTATTTATTTTCAGGAAGTCCAAAAACTGTAGTTAGTTGAAGTGGCCAGTGGGGGAGCTGTTGACAGTTATCTTTTGGATCTCTGCTTCTATCTGTATGTCTGCTTCTGTCTTTTGAACCCCAGTTGACCTTGTCAAATAGCCGCTCATACTGAGCCTAGCTCTGCTGAATGTGTCTTCCTGTTAAAAGGGAGTTTTCCTCTCCACTGTCACTACATGCTTGCTCGGTGTGGAGGATTGCTAAAGAGTCAACGCAATCAGCCGGTTTTCCTAAGATAGAAAAATTTGGACCAATCTGACTGTATAATCTAGTTGAACTATCTTTGTAAGGTGCCTTGAGATGACATCTGTTGTGAATTTGCACTATATAAATGAACTGAATGGAATTTTGTTTAAAATAAGATTGAACCAATTAAAGGTATATTGAGATCATATAACAACTGATAAAGAAATATTGTTATCGGTCAAAATTGGAATCATGTCAGGCTTTTTATAGATCGATACATATCGACCAGAAAGCTGCAATCAGTGCAAACCCTAAAACGGTGATCCTATTTTAATTTGACTGACACTAAAAAGTGCAACCCCATCATTTTAAAATCATTGTTGAAATAAAAGTGTAAAGATAAAAATTTGATAGAGATCCAAGGGACCTTTTAATTACGGTGTCTCACCCAGTGCATATATTTGTAGGAAATGTTGTAATTTAGTAATCCGTCTTTAGTACAGGGTTAGTGGAGGTTGGTAGAGGACCCACATGCAGAGTCAAAGACTGAACTGGTTTCTTAGACATTTAATAATTAGAGTAGCAGCAACAGAAGCATAAATCAAGAAATAATAAACCAAGGAACACAGGAAACAGAACAGAGGGTAACAGAATTTCAGGAGGAAATTAAGAAAATCCAGCAAAGATCAACTGCAGAGAAGGAGAAAATATTCTAGACAGAACAATGAATCAAGTAATCAACTGATTCGGAGCAGAAATGGAAGGAAGTAGCTAGAAGGGAGCCAAGGGGAAAGGAGAGTGGAACAAGGGGGCAACAGAGAGTAACGAATAAATAGAACAGTGATTCAATATAATTAGAAATAAACTTAGATACTAAATGGAAATTAAACTAATGACTCAGGAGGACATAAATCAAAGTTTAACCTAAAACCCAAAGTGAATACTTGGTGGAAAAAAACAAATCCAGAGCAGCAGATTATAACACCTACTGTATGTCTCTATCTCATTACCTACACTCTCTCCCTGCACTTTAAGCCAAACACAACTTTATCATACATGTGTTTTTATGAAAAGTCACTTCAATGGACGAGTCCCGTTATGGTGTGAGTAACATAGCGGTGTTACCCAAAAGAGAAAACTAATTAGTTAGGTTACTCTTTTACTGTTACTATTGACTAAAGCCATTACTGCTAACCTTACCCAGTAGACTCTATTTTGCAAATTTGAACTCTTGGTTGTTTTGTCCTGACCACTATATTTTAAAACAGATTCATCAGATTCTTTGAGTGCTCTCTATAGGCCATGGCTTTTTCCCATGAGATGCAGTGAAGGTGCCAATAAACCCCACTAAAACAGTTAAATATTAAAAGGAGTTATTCAAAGGCACTTTAAAGACAATAGGTGGATTTTTACTGCTAATAAACACGAGTCTGAAGGTTTTAGCTACCTATGAAACCAAACACACCCTCTCTCATAGCTTGAAATTATTACTCTTCTCAAAATAGTTTAGATAGTTTTCTTTGTCATGTTGCACATGATATGGGTCCAATTAAAGTAATTAAAAAGGATACTACTATTATTCACTTTTATAAAACTAAAGTCTGGGGATTTTTTTTCCTATTCACCAATTTTTACAAAGAATGCAACATGGTACGTCTTGATCATTGCAAAATTATCTTTTTGAAAATCATTTTGCAATGCATGACTTAGTCCCATCAGCATACAAAGGTGTATGGAATTTCAGACATACTCTATGGCAGGAATATATTGGGACATGTTTACATACAAGCACACACCGACAAGCAAAATAACTTTCACTAGATTTATTTCAAGAAAGAAAGACAAAAAAAAGTTAATGCATTTTCTTTCTTCTTAAAAAGAACCAGATCACCGGCATTGAGAGGCCACCGACCAAATAACTGAATTAAGACCAGATTTACCTCTCAGTTAAAGCACTATTTAAACAAGTAGTATGTGTTCTTATATGTTATATCATTTGTACAGATATAACTCTCCAATCTTCTATGTCCACGTTTGGGTGGTGGGTTGTTCAAAAATGGTTTAGAAAAACTGAAAAGAAAACTAAATCAGGAACAAACACTATAAATACATTACAGAAATAAAATACAGTAGTTTGCTATGTAATGATGAAAGACAATCAAAAACATTTGCTTTTAACCTTTGTTATTTACAGCAAATATATATATATATATCTATATATTCTTGCCACTCTTAGCAAATATGTCACAGGTGATCATTACAATGTTATCACATCACAGGTTTGAGTCCCGCTGTTCCTGCTGTGATGGAAGGAAATACAGTAAATTGGCTTAATACTTCCTGGACAAGCTGTGAGGATGAAGCATGGTCACCAACATCCTTCTGACATCAAAATATTCCTAAACTCACGTCTGGATTTCATCTCTCAGCTGGGCCAGGAAGTAAAAAAAAGTGTTTGCTTGGCACATTTACCCCTGACTCTATAACAAACATTAACAGACAAACACAGACCTGATATAGAAAACAGTCAAAGGTCTGAACTCTCAAGAGCATTTGAGGAGGAAAAAGAAAAGAAAAACATTTAATTTATACATTTTTTTAATGGAAACATCATGACTTGATGACATTTGAAAAGCCTTTGGAAAACCAGACCTTGATCAATAATTTAACCAGAGGCATAGTTTTTTTTGTAAATTCTATCTTATGTAGGCATCTATGCAATGTCACAGAAAAAAGGCTTCATAATGCACATGAAGAAAGCCAAAATATATGAAAGTGTTACTAAAATGACTGAGGCAGAAATGGAGGAGCAAGATGCTAATTTTACGCACCTTGATGCCCTTTTAAATTGTATTCCTTAATTCATGAAGCAATAAAGCCAGATCAACCCTCTTCCTCTTCCGTCATGATATCCTTTAAAAATCTCCTTCATCAGCATGATTTTACTTTCTCCTTTTTCCTTTTCTTTTGATCCAAATTCACTTATAGTGCCTTGCAAAATGTATACCCGAAGCATCTTATTGGAGTTTTGTGTAATATACCAACACAAAGTAATGCAACACTGCAAAGAGGCACTGGAATGCACAGCTCCACCTTTTTTTATTTGGTTTTAGTCCTCCTTACTTTTATATCTCTTGGGGGGGAAAGAAAAGAAATAAAAATCAGTTAAACTTACAACACTTGTTTAGGTATGCACAACTCCATACCTACTAGCACATGGCTGCTCCTGTAAACGTACAGGCCAGGAAAGGTGAGCATTGATCAAATAAACAGCCTGGTCTGTTTTTACTCTGAAGTATCTGCAGAATTTTATATCACAGGTGGAAATGTCTACCAACAAAATATGATTATAGTTAAACACACTTCATATGTGACCTTTAAATCAAAGCACCAAGAAGAAAGTATTTATTAAAAGAGACCCATAAGAAGACCTGTTTGAGTTTTGCCAAAGGCTATTGAGGAGACATGTACAATATATTTAATAGAATAGAAAATCCCTTTATTGTCCCAATGGGGAAATTGTGGAATGAAACAGAAAATGATCAGAGGGAACAATTCTTGCCTTCATGCAAATAACTGTGTGCTTTAATTTAGCCCTGGAGATTACCCAGAGCACAGCATTCCCCACGGACACATGGTGTTTGCAGCATCATGCTGTGAGGACACCTTCCCTCTGAGGGGAACTAATCAGAACTGATATTAAGATGGCTTAAGATAACTGCAAGTTCATACTGGAGCAGAGCCTGTTAAGAGGCCACACAGACCTGATCTTATGAAGGGAGATCATCTTTGAGTGGAAAAAAAAAAATGCTAAAGATACAGCCAGAGCCACAAGGAAAAGGTTTAAATCAAGAGGCATTCAAGGGCCCAGACAAAACCTGAAGAAACACGCACATAAAAAATTAAAATCATTGACAGAACTTGAACATTTTTGTTCAATCAAACTAATATTTGCCTCTTTTTTAAAAGGGTTTTTAAAAGGGTTTACTTTGTGTTGGTCCATCACAACAAAAATCCACTAAAATATGTCTGTAAATTAATATAACCATATATGAATACTTATTTCAAGGTGCATGCATCAATTTCTCCGTCCTCCATTTGCTTACCATTCACTCCAACTCTGAAGCATGTTTTAGTCTGCATTAATGTTACAGTATGGCAGCCTGTCACCCTAAACCCAGAATTTATAAAAATTTTAGATTTTTTTCTCTTTTTTTCAATGAGGCACAATTCTGAGAAATCAACTGATTTCATGTTTTCTTTTATGGCTAAAACTGTTGTTGATTAATTTTTCTGCAATGTTTGGGCGTGATGTTGCTTCCATGTATGAGTCACAGACAGGCAGGAATAGAAAAGAAGTGACACAACTTTTGAGGTCTTTAAACAAGTTTTACAAAATATACATGTTCTCAGTCAACACAGTGGTACTCACACTATGTCCATACAAATATCCAACAAACATACTAAACAGACTTTTTATTCCACTTTTATATATTAAAAGCTCTAACAAAAGGCAGCAAAGATACGTGATAAGGCAGATCCATTGGACACACTCATTGACACTCTATTGAACACATTCTACTGCACAGTTACACCAGCGAATGAGATGGATGGTTTAAAGGGCTTCTTTTTTGTCCTAAAATGACTTATTTGGTGAAAAAAAAAATAGAAAAACAGACAAAAAAGTGATCTAAAAATAAAAATTATGTGGTAAGTATCCGCCCCCAATTTATTTCTGTTTTTCCATTTTGTTCAAATGTCTCAGAGCATCAAAAATACTTTTATATTAGAGAGCAGTCTATTGGTTAATTCGTAAAACAATTCAAATGAATATTTTATTAATTAAAGCAACAATGTAACTTGTAGCCATTGTGACTTACAAATATTTAAATATTACATTTAAAATAGCTGTTTTTCAAATTTGAATATGTCATTTTCTGGTCCTGGTCCTTAATATTCAACACTGCACTGTTGCAAAATTAAATATTTTCCCTGTTTTAGAATCTAAAACAGACCACCTTGTACCAGCAGGTTGAGAAGTCAGAGTTACACGTAAAAACAAGGCCGTATTTACCCCACTTGATTAAAGTCAACACCATAGAACTAAAAATATGTTCGATCAAGTGCATGTATTTTCTGTTTTGTTGGCTTCTAGCTTCGCTCTGATGTTTAAGGGGAGCTAGACTGTCATAAAGCTTGGCTCTAGGTCACATGACTCATTTAGGGATTCTTACTTACATTGAGAACTTTTTGAGAAGAGCAGCCTGCATGGAGTGTCGATATACGCTAAGAGCTGTACGTTGATCTGAAAAATAATTTAGCATTTTTCAAATTAGGGTAATACTTGGGTCAAAAGTTACACAGTGCTGCTTTAAAGAACAAAAACACAAACTCTTCAAACTAACCTTGTCCTATTAAAAAAACAAAAAAACAAACAAAACTCTGGTTAATTTAGAAACTACCTTAACAATCACAAAATGGGAGTGCAGGTGGCGCAGTAGTTAGCGTGCATGTACAGAGGACTTAGAACTCGACGTGGGCGACCTGGGTTTCGAATCCGACCTGTGAACCTTTGCATGTCTCTACCCCAGGTCACTGGTGCCGAAAAACTCAAACCCCCCCCCAAAAAAACATCACAAAAATAATTACAATTTAAACTGTTAGACTACATGAAGTACACTACAAATCTTAAAATGCAAAGTATCAAACCATAACTAAATGAAATGCAAGAATAAAATAGAAGCAAAGTAATGCACATTCATTAGGCTGATAAAGGTAACAGTACAAAGACAAATGAGAGGCTTTAGGGCTGGAGATGTCCACAGGGGGAGCCAGTATCCACATATGGAAAACATAGAACAGAGGTGAAACCTTCCTATGATAGAATGATGTAATAAACTTATTTTAGGAGCATATCAGTGGCTACCCAGTAGGTCAAAAAATGTATTCTCAAAAATACATTTGCTTCCCTCACTGGACTTAACTGTCCAGCTATTACCTTTGATCATCAGCTAAATGTGACATGACACTCCAGCATCAATAAGTGACTCAAACTAAGGAACAAAATTAAGATTTTTTCATAGCCAAATCAAATCCTGAGTTTTGATTTTATTAAGAGGCCATGGCACGACCATAAACAGAGTAATCACAGTACAAAATGCTTCAAGGTGGCTCAGTCAAACAATTCTGAAAAAAATGAAGGGGAAAAAATGTCTCCACAAAAAATTAAAAGACTTATTGCAAGCTTTAAATGAGAGGTGTTGAAGCCTGTTACAGAGTGCAGGGATTGTTTTTTCATCTAGGCCAAATTTGATTTGAATTGCCTTTATTATGTAGATGAGCAAAAAAAATAAATATTTTATTTTATACTTTATCATTCTATCTGCTTATATAAAACATTTTTGATGATCTGATACATTTAAATTATGACAAAACAGACAAATAAAGGAAATATTAAATGAGGGCAAAACACTTTTCCACACTGCATGAGTGGCATTGTGACAATTTAATTTTTTTTTTAAAAGTATGGCCTCTGGTGTTGTTGATGAGTGATTGTCTAAAACTGCCCTTAAACTGCATGAAACAGAGAGGGAGGGAGAATGAAGAAGAACAAAAGGAGATCATGAATTGTCTGAATATATTCTGAGGAGGTGGAGACAAAAACCTGCTGTGATGCAGAGAAAAACCAAACGCTTTAATTTCTTACAAATGAGGAAAATGAACTCAGATGAATTTATGGTGAGGTGTCCGTCCATCATGCATTCATAAGCAGCAGGTGGGATCTGTAGCGACTGAAAGGAATATACGCTGTAACAGAAAGTATAGCACATCATCTCACTGTTACACGTTGAAGGAGTCTTTGCCAAAACTACGAATGTTTCCATCTCGTTTGTGCGAATATGCGTCAGTTCCTTGTGTTTTTACAATCTCAAGAAGGATCAGTGCGTGACGAATGAAGGTGTGACGTAAAAAGATACTCGTCATCTTTTAGGCTCCTCGACTGGCTGACACAAGCGACATCAAGCATCAAAACAGTGACTCAGATAAATCCACTCAACTTAGAACATCCGTCTGCTTCAGTTTCCATTCTGCAAGGCCCACTAAGCACAGCAGGTGGTTGACATCAGAGAGATCGGCCTGTTGTTGGCCTTTAGAAAGGTATTCTTCACCTCTTATTGGACCACGGGAAAACTTCAGGAAAAACACGTCGGAGGCCCCGCGGTTTGTCACTGGCCCTGTCCTCCCTCTGTGTCGTCAAGGCAGCCGTTCAGGCAGTGGTCGTCGCTCCCGAAGGCTCCCTGCGACTGAAGCAGCTCGTACTCCTGGTCCAGGAAGTCCAGGCTGTTGTTGCTAGGCAACCCACGGATTGTGAACTTGTGGGAGACTTTGGTCCACTGCTCGCGATTCGCTGCCACTCGTTCGTATAGCTCAGTGGCCCCAGGAAACAGTTCAGACAGCAGCCTGTGAGGACAGAGATGGAGGGGAAGCTTAAGGTAGGCTTCTGTTAAAGTTAAAGGCCTTTATTCTTTACAGAGGTTGCCAGCAGTCAAAAAAAGAAAATTTTTTTTAGTTTAGATAATAAAATCACTTGTGAAAAAGAAAAACACAAAAAATTATTTGTAAAGAAAAGAGGAATAATTTGTTCTGTAATAGTCATACTCTACATACAAATGTTTATGATCATTCCTTTAAGGTGTTTAGTAAAGGAAAGAAAGACACAGGATAACAAAGTAACTGACAGATTAATAAGGTACAGTTGTTATTAGCAGTCAGTATCTTATCTCAGTGTTTCCTAACCTTTTTTGACTGTATCCCTTTATAAATTTTCATTCATACATTTTTATAAATTTCTGAAAAGTTTTACTAATTGTCCAAAAGTGGGAGTGGTGGTCTAGTGGTTAGGGCAGAGAGCTTGGAATCCTGAGTTGTGCCTTTTTCCCTCATGGTTGTGATGCAATAATGGTAGTTATCAGTTGGAGCCTCTAATAACTTGGGTAGTTGCCCAAGTCAATTGTTAAATATAAAGAACACTGAAAATAGCTTTCAGAAAATATATGGTTTACAGTAAAGACACCAAAATCCAAACAACAAAGAAGCTTGAAAAAAGAAAGATAAATCTAAGTAAATTATTTTATATTTCCTGTCAGCAGCATATAAAAACATAACTTCCTCGTTCACTGGCCATGAGCTGTTAGAAAGTATAGTAAAGTTGCCTGAAGGATTCATAGTTTGTACGTACTTGTAGATGGGCATGGCGATATGCTCCATGAAGCTGATCTGTAGCTCTGGGATGTACGCTTTCTCTCTGTCCATCATCTCACTCGGCCTGTTCCCCATGGCTTTTTCCTGCGCGTGCACCACAAACACACATTGCACAGACATGAGTTCGGAGCTCAATAATCTGTAATCGCAAAGTTCAGCCACATGCCAAAAGTCACAAAAAAAAACATTTCAGCTGCTCAGACATACCAGATCTCCTTGAGAGAAGAACTCCTTGTAAATCAGCTCCTGTAGACAAACAGAAGCAGACATATATATCCGCACACATTGTTTCATGTTAACAGAAAGGTGAAAAAAATGACATTCGGGCAGATTTATGCCAGGAACTAAAAAAAATCTACATATGCTAATCACTTAAAACTGGTCAAACGAATGGGCTGATTACATTTTTTATTCCACAAAATTTTCTATTTCCTGATAGAAACAACACCTGTGCTTACTTTTTTATTGTGAGAGTGTAGTGATCAATTTACTGACTAAGAACAAAACAAGCCGGATATAGCACAGAAATCTCTGTTGGATAAAAGAGAAATATGTAGTGTTTTTTCTTTCATTAGGGTGGGGGGATCAAGGATTACACTGCATTCGATTTGAGTGTTAGGTGTTTGCAGATTGAGGGTAGGATTTAGGGCAAGGTTTACAGGGGTTTTGGCAATGAAAAGGGGGCAGTTCAAGATTAAAAACATAATCCAAAGATGTAGTGTGGGTGCACAGGGGAGACTATACTGGGGTTTCAATATTATTAACACATGTAAGATTCCAGATATTTGGTATTCAGGTATGTATAGTTGAAGAACTTTATATAGAAGATCAATCAAGGTAGTTCTGTATGATGTACAGCAGCTAGTTTAGGCTGTGAACTGACCGCAATCTTGCGTGTTGTTTTCCAGTCCTTGGTTTGGTCCGACAGATCACATGAAGTCATCAACAGACACAGCAGCAAGGAGTGGTGGGTGCGACTTTTTGTATTGTACCCATCTGAAACACACACAGACTCTCTCAATAAAACATATACTTTAAGCCAGCACTAACTATCTGAAGAGCATAATAGTCCATATTCCGGAGATAGGAGACCCAGATACAGTTGAATAAAAAGAATAACCATTATAATTACTATTATTGTTCAAACACATTTCACACTTTTTCTAATACAAGGGTCCCTTTCTAAAAACAGAAAAGTACAAAAATATATTGATAATTACTTGCTGTCTGAAAATGCAAAGAGTGATAAGGCATTGCAAACAGAAATGGGAAGCTTTTCTAGACAGGAAAGAACAACGGATATCAATGAAGAACATGGACAGAAACTTAAACATCCATGGGGATTAATAGGCAACAAGTAAAACAGGTAAGTGAATTAAAATAAAAAGACAATAAGGTATTATCCCATGCTCAAGAGCTGATATCAGAAGCCTCAAGGAGTTCATGAAAAAGAAAACATTACACAACCCGAACAGGGCGGTCAAATGGCCCTGAGTCGAGGATAAGTCAAGTCAAGTCAAGTCAGCTTTTATTGTCGCTTTCTTCATATGTACAAGACATACAAGGGAAATGAAATTACGTTTACTCTCTAGAAATATACAAATATACAAGAAATATACAAGACTGAAAGAAGAATAGAAAGACGAAAACCCAGAGTTCTGATGGGTGACCTGCAGATTGTCAAAAGGAAGCCTAGAGATCAGGAGGTCAGCAGTGGTGAAGTAGGAACCTTTAAGGTCAGCTGCAGTGATGCATCAGACAGAAAGTCCTACCAGGAGTTTACCCAACTGGACTGGTTGGCGACTGGACCAACAAAAGCATCCTCAAAACGTGAGGATGGAGAAGCTCTGAGGGCTGTGACCCAGGAGGAGCAGGAACAAGAGGATGTTCCATTTGATTGATTGAGTGACTGACTTAACTGATCTTACAGGGGAGAAATTTACTTGTTAGATCAGCTCAAATAGTCAAAGAAGAAGAATGTGCCAAAGGAAGAAAAATCATACCGGGTTATTGCACAGGGTGTTTACATGGGTATTTATTTGGATTGATATTTATATTTAAAATTTAAATATTTAAAATATTTTAAAAAACAGGACATTTTTCAGGGTATCAAGAGTATATTGCACATTATACGTTGCACAAGTTATTGCCGTTGTAGTGTGGCATTGTAGAGTCTGGTTGTAGTAGGGATGGATGAATTGCGGCAGCCCTCCTACAAACAGGGTGTAAAAGCCTTTCAGTAGAGGAGCTGGTCAGTTCCTCTACAGTCTGGCGCAGAGGGTGCAAGGTGTCATCCAAGATGGATGTAAGCTTGGACAGCACCCTCCTCTCAGCCACTTCCAACACTGAGTCCAGAATGCAGCCTAGGACAGAAGCAGCCTTTCTCACCAGTTTGATCATTCTCTTTCTGTCCCGCTCTGAGCTGCTAGGGGCCCAGCATACAACAGCGTAGAGGAGGGCTGATGCCACCACAGAGTCATAAAAAGTTTTAAGCTGCGTGCCTGCATAAAACAGATCCACCTGGAGACCATTGTTGGACACCATCAGGAACTGGGGCATGAGGTGGCTGAGGCAGCTTGAGGCAAGGAAAGGGCTCAGGTACTTCCAGGTGGTGAGAGCAGGCACTTTAAATCTCAATGGAGCAGGCTTCAGGACAATTAACAAAATATCTGTAACCAAAGGACTTGAGTAGTTCAATGGACCTGTGGAACAGCTCTAACTGAAGCGCAAACGAGTGCAAAGTGTTGGATTCAGAAGCTGCCGGCAGTTTATTCAGTTAGAGTTGTAGGAATGTAGACCAATGCCTAAAGGTTAAATCACAGCCTTGAGCCCCAGAAATGCAACAGCTGTTTATTTGCTTTTATAAGCTGGGCCGTCAAAAGTCAGCCAGTGCCAGACTATTGAAAACTAATCAACGAATAGACTTCCAGCGTTCTTCTGTACCCGTTTACCAAGACTACAACAAGCTTAATGTTTTCTTGTATTTTCCTGTTCTCGCCTTAACCTCATCATACACCTCATTTGGCTTCAGTCATTCTGGACATTGACCTGGACTAAACCTTGTAAGCCCTTGAAATCTGCTCATAACTATACAACCTGCTAAAAGCTGCCAGAGAGTGCCCGCTTAGTCACCTATAACAACTTTGCTTATAACCAGCCATGCTTTGCCTGCAACAGGACTTCATTCAAGATTCTTAAATAAACCATTTTCAAAGACACAGCAGAGTGTTATACCAGTGTGCATCAAAATACTTCTACCTTAAGCCTTCAGGTTGTTTAAAATATTTTTGGATGGCAATTTATGCTAAAAATTGTCATGTTCTTCTGTTCTGAATGCTAATTTTAACACTTTCCACTCTTTTGGAGGCATGCTGGTTTGTTAGATGTTCAAACTTCTGCACAAAGACAAGATTCCTCCCAACTTCCACCAAATGACCACATAAATCTTTAAATTATGAGCTTACATTCCATGTACTTTTGTTTTCTGTGGCATGATGCTCTAAATTACCAGCAGTTTGTTGTCATGTAGAAAATTTTACTTACTTTTTTATACATACTAAGCAAATGAAATGATCACATCTGAAAAGGAAAAGTGGTAAAAATAATGATACTTGGCCCATAATGACATAAAGACATTGAAATGTGTCTTAAAATACAAATTAATTTATATTCTTCTCCTTGGAATTCTGTTCCAAAGATCATATTTAACTGCTGCATTTGTCTGCATTCTGCTAACCTGTTTCTTTCTAAATCCATAACTCAAGAGTCTGCAGTAAAAATAAATGTCTAACTTATTTAAGGTTTTGTGTATCCTTGAATCCCTTTAGTAGCTTAAGCTTAATTCACTTCAGAGGCCTCGACTCAGGATAACTCATAATTGGTTGCATTCAGGCATGACTAACCTCTGGCCTAGACGTTACAGCTAATTAAGTCACACGAGGGCGTAAGAAACTGTAGGAGATTATTAAGGATGCAGAGGCTGAATGCTGTGAGCTTTACCACAATTCTTCCAAATATTAGTTCATTGGAAAACCCGAATCACGACTTTATTGTTGTTTTTTCTATACCCAAACTACTTGAACTTTTCTACATTTTGTCACATAACCACAGATTGTAATGTCGTTTTTAACGTGATAACTACACTGGATTTTATATGATAGACTGACACAGAGTAGCACAAATGTATGAAGTGAACAAAAATGATAAGACTTAACATTTTTTTGTTAAATAAAGACAGAAACAGTTTGGTTTGCATATATATATATATATATATATATATATATATATATATATATATATATATATATATATATATATATATATATGTACATTGCTACCAGTTTTGTTTATGTAAAAAATGGAAAATGTTGCCTCAGTTTGCAATTCTGAGAGGAATCACAACATCTGTGAAAACCCTTTTCAAGTCCTGCTTACATTTCTTCATTAAATTTAGGTTTAGGTTATTCATGAAGTTTAGTTTCAAAGATTCCTCATCAGACACTAATCTCTACCATACCTGTGTTGTGAAAAATAGGGAGATTTTTTTCATTGCTATATTGGCCCATGGGGTAATTGTTTGTCATGTTTGCCTTGTACAGTATTTTAAACCTTATGAAGGAAACATATTCCAAAAATGTTGTTTCTTTGACATTCAACTGATGTTTTTTAAGGACAATGAAAAAAAAGATAATTGTGAGATTTAATCATTGAAATGAGAATCCGGAAAACTCAATAACAAGGCAGTTACATTGCAAGGCATTTAGTATGCAGCATTGCTGACCAAATTAAAAAGTGTGTACCACTGCCTGCCACCATCTAAAGGATGTTGACATGAAGAAAAGTGGCTACAGCCACTGTACTTCAAACTGAGACTTAGACAACTTTTATTGTCATTTTGTTTGCACAGAGTGTATGCAAAAGGACGTTTCATTTAGTACATATTTTCAGACAATAAATTAACATTTTAATTCCATAAAGTACAGCAGTGATCAAATGTAAACAGTGTGGGAGAAAAAAAAAAAAAAAAAAAAAACGGTGCAAAAAAAACGCATTGATATGGAAGTTCAGAGCATTAATATATATGGGGCAAATATGCAGTATTTTTGGTTTGGTGCTATCAGTGTGATGCAGAGTCTGTGACATGATTTAGAGTTTTTCAACAATTCAGCAGTCTGATGGCAGTAGGGAAGAAACGGTTGCAGAATCTGCTGGACCTGCATCGACTGTGACCGAAGCTCCAGCCAGCACTTTGTGTATTTGTTTGGAGCTATAGCAAGCCGCTGCCTTCAGGCGCAGCCACTTACTTCAAATTCATGCAATAAAAAAAAAATAAAAAAAAAACGTCCTCAAAGTTGCAACTTAACAAATTGCTTAATTCTATAACAGCTGCTTCTCGTGTTCTAGCAGGCTGTATACAAAGGGTTGCCAGATACTGTGACATTTATCCCCATGAGCTTACTATTTTCCTTTACTAAAAAATCGAGATATTATCGAGAGAAATGACTGATCAGAACATCGGCCAGAGATAACATAGCTCTGGCTGTATGCTCAGCTTCATTTCAAAAAAAGTATTCCCATACCATGATGCTGCCACCATTAGGTTACATATCGGGGATGTTGTATTCAGGAAAAAGTGTTTAAATGTCAGGAGTACTTTTTATATTTCAAATATCTTCTAATCAGGAAGTTTTCATATAAGCTACATTCTGATCAAAGCCTTCCAAAACCTTACAGGGCTTTGCATCAATAACTACTAACACATACCATCAGCCATCCTTTGCAATTCCTTGAATATTCGAAGGTGATGAGCCAGGTCTGTAGCCAGAATAATGTCTCTCATCAGATCTAACATCCTCTGGTAATCCTAGAAATGAACAGTTCACAATGTAAACTTGAACAAGTGTAAAAAAAAAAAAAAAGCTTGAACAGCAGATTGCTTTTAAGTAAACTGTTGTATTTCACCTTCCTGGAGAATTTCTCAAAGATGTTGCAGCCTTGTGTGTTGAGAATAGCAATTGCCTGTGCAAAGTGGTGTCTCTGTCAAAGCAAATGGAGTATAAAGACAGCAGTTATAATATGACAGCCATGTTCTGCATGCAGAAAGCAAAACAAATTTTCACCAATCTTCTCTTCAAAAAATTAAAGTGCTTTTTTTATTTTGACCACTAGATGTCACAATAGCACACAACTTTAGAAGGTTAAAGGCAATTAAAAAAAATAAACAATTTGTGTTAATATTATTGAATAAACACAGCCATGATAAAAAAAAAAATCAAAATTTGTCAAGCTTAAATCACCTCCATTACAGATCCCTCCGAGCTGTAGAGAGCAGCCAGCACTGATTGCTGAAAGTCAAACAGAGACACAAATGAGACAGATTCCCTTCAACAGCGTCCCTACCACCAGTGGAAAACCACATCCTCTGATTTTTCTCCAACTGCTTGTATCAGCTTGGCTCTAAACCTAGAAAGCAGAAAGGGATGCTGATAGATTGTTGATTTAACGGATGCCCTTTGCTGCTTTCTGTTGCTGTGCTTGTGTTTGAGTCATTTCCCGCTGCAGGGCTGTGTATGATTAAAGTGAAGCGGAGCAACAGGGTTGCTCATCGAAGTGACATCTTTACTCCACACAGGAGGGGAATATAAAGAGATAAGAAACCTACTCTGTTTGATTATTATGGAATAATGCGAAAATTAAAGGTCGCTTCCTGATGTTTGATATAAAAAAAGAAGATATAGTCCATGCTCTCACCGAGTCCACTTGGAAAGAATTGTTGGTGCCACGGTGGTCCAGGTCATGGCACATACAGGAAACAAAGAGAGCAAGAATCTCTATGTCTCTGCATAAAAACAGGAAAAGTAAAATCACTTTAGTTTCAGCAAAGTAGAACATTTATTTGTGGAATATTTGGGAAATATGTGCTTACTCGAGGTAGTTGGACAGCCCTAGGTTTTTGTAGAGCAGGTAGCAGAAGTGAGAAACAGAGAAGGCGTGCATCCAGTTGTGGTAGGGGGGGTCCCTGTAGCCTTTCTTCACCATCAGACAGAACCTGTCACCAAGGCAGGAATTTAATAACAGCCGGCGTCGCATCGTGTCGCCAGTGACATTGGGACATGCGCCATTAAAGGGCCAATTCATTTCCCCACTTATTTTTTTATTTGCAGCATGTAATTTCATTTTAAACATCATGACCTGGTTTGCATAAGTGCACTTCTTTCCTTCAGTTGAAAGAGCAGGAAGGAAATTAATGAAAATGCTGGCATATCAAAGCTCAGCAGCAGCTCTCGCTGAAGTTTGATATAAATTTTGATTTGATTTTACTCGTATCACGTTTCCATGACATTTAGATTTCTCTAAATTTAAAACATAGCTACTTCACTGCCCACTACTGAGATCTTTCCCTTGACTGACAGTCATTAAACTAACATTTGAAGAGCTCTTACTTTTTAGCCAGCAGCTATTTTGTTATTGATGCCTTTTTTTTTAATTAACTGTAACAACTGCTGAATTACTTTTAACAGGGGGAGGAATAATGATGTGTGTTTTATGTCAAAAAGGCTTCTATTACGAGGAAACATTTCCTTTAATTAATTTTGTCCAAACAGAATGACATCAGCAAACCATAACATTTTTATCTGTTATCTTAGACTGAGAACCTCATAGTTATTCATGTCTACACAGGATAGAATATTTAGATTAAAGAATCTAAAAATCCAAATCAAATTAGTCAAAGTGCTGTGCATACTAAGATTAATAAATAAAACCAAAAACAAGACATGTTTTTAGACATACAACTGGAATGAAATAGTAAAGAGAAGATATATGAGAGCATGTTAAATCAAAACTGGTCAATTCCTACCAAATAAAGCTGAAGTAGAATTCCCTTATAAACTATTTATTGTCTGAATATTTCCAAACAAAAAGCAGAATTTTACAGATATGCAAACATTTTTATGACAGGTATGAATCAATTAGGGATGAAACAATCGATCGGATTAATCGAATATTGACATAACGATCAACTAATTTAATAATCGCTTAATTGTTAAGTGCAGTATAGAGACTTTAAAACATGTCTTTAGCTGAGAGAGAAACCATTTTAGAGCATTAATTATATCAAAATTGTAGAGAAATATGTAAATATTTTGCATTTAAAATTTAAAATGTCAATATATTCTATCCAGAACGCCACAAGTGGCAAAGTTTTAGTTTCACCTGGTTTGAATTCTGTAAAAAAAACATTTTGCTTTGATTATTAATCGAAAAAAGAATTGACAGATGAATCAATTAGACAAATAGTTGTTAGTTGCAGCCCTAATAATAAATATGGTGAAAGAAGCTGATCGATAGCAATGAAAAAATACGCCTGATAATTTCACTAAACTCTGATCTAGAACTGCTGGATTTCTGGTGGATGTAGGAAAAGGAAAGCATTTAGCTTCTAAGTCTCTTATGCCAAATTAAGCCAGGTGGTAGGGCTGAACCATTTTGAAAGGTTCAAGGTTACCTTTGCTGAGATATGGCAAGAATAAATTGATGCTCTGCGTAACCCAAATAAGTACAGATGGCTGCTGTTATAGACCTTGATTTATAGAGTAATGTGTAGGCTGGCTTTATAAACCAAAGCTTTGTATTTAGTGACAATCAAATTCCTTTTCATGCATTTTATTTCATCTTGCTTTATTCACCATCTACAATCATGTAAATGCAGTCATTTCTGTAGAATGTGTTGAGAAAAATAATCAAAATAGGCTGGTTACTACATTAAAAAGCCAGCAATGTTTCAGAAACCAGAGATCCAATTACTGTTAGTGTCTAAAATACTATAAAAGCAGGCAGTTCTCTCCCTGTCATGTTCAGAGCATAGATCGATGGAGGAGTCTAACCTGGCCAGAGTATTCAGGTCAATCTTGTACGTGTTGATGAAGCCCATATCTTCAAACATGCTCAGAACGCCCTGCAGACACACACGGCAGATTTCATTATTCATTTCTCCGGTTTGTTTTTTCCGATTGTTCTCGCTCCTTTCTTCTCACAACCCTCTTTCCCTTTCTCTCACATGAGGTGTGGTGTCGTCAGGAAGGGAACGGGGCGTGTACGTGAACTCTGCGAAACATGGATGAATCTCCTTCACAGGTTCGATCCCAGTCACAAGCAGCTTAGTCACCTCCTCCTCTGACACCTGCAGCATGTGCATGCGGCATGATAAGACACTGAAAACACTGTAGGCAGGGCATGCCGAGTATTGTAGATGGATGTTTGTTTACCTTCATGTGGTACATCATCATTTCATTGGCAAGCGTGGACCTGAACTGAGCCTCATGCACTTTCTTGTAGAGCAGAGACTAAAGAATAAAAAAAAAAAACACAGACAAACATGAAGGAATTTGATTATAAAGACAAATAAGCCGATGTGATGATATACTGAAGATCCACATTATCCTGCTCCTTTATTGAATACTGACTTTCCTATGATCTGATATAAGACAGTTAAACATAGCTGATCACAGCTACCACATCAGTACAAAGCTTGCTACCCTGTTAAGCAACAGGCTTCGGCTAATAGTATATTTGCTCATCTTTGAATGACTAATGATTCTTCTTGAAGGCAGTTATTTTTCCAATTACACATCTTTATGGAGTGTAGATATCCTATTGAATACCTGCAGTCAACAAAAGGTCACATTCTGCAAGCGCTGATTAATACCAAAGCGAACTGGCTAATCTGAATAAAATATTTCAGAGCAGTAATTTCAATGAATTCATGATTTCCCCCCAGTTAAAAATCAGTGTTAACTTTAATTTTATCTTCCCTTCATTTCATTTGATCCTTCCTTCCTTTTAGTTTTAAAGAAAATATAAAATCATTACTCTGATTTCCAGATTGCACTCCTTGGGCTGCAAACAGAATAAATCTATTTTTTTGTAAAACTGTTTTGGGTATCAAAACAGCCCAGCCCAGTCATACTTTCTTACATGTGAAAAACTACGTTTAAAAACCAGGTAAAGCTACTGGGCATTACCTTTACCTGGCCAGCACTCCTGTCATTACCTTTGGTTGATGTTTTGCTTCTGCTGAATTGGTCTTATCTAACCAACTAGGCTCCAACCTAATTAAAGTGATCAAAAATTTTATTTTTCTGGAAAAAAAAATGTTTTGAAGATGCTTTAAATGATTTTTGCAGGTTTTATTTTCTCCACATTAGTGGTTGTTTATTTAAGTATGGAGTTGATTTACTCTTATTTTATGCAAATTCAAACAGATTCATTTAGACTATTTGCAATGCAATATTACCAACCTAAAAAAAAAAAAAAAACGATTTCAAGGTGCCTGTGAGTGGGTGCAGAGTCTTACGTGGGCGATGCTGATTCCACAGTAGATGGAGAAAGCTGTGGCCAGATCCTCATCAAAGCGGTTGAACCACGGCCCGTTCATTTTATTCACCAGCTCTGCTACGCCAATCACCTCTAAGAGATGGAGGAATTTCAGGAAAAAAAAGCAGAGAGAAGATGGTGGGAGGAAAAGATTAGGTGAGAAAGATGGAGACAGGGAAAGTAGATGATGAAAAAATGGGGAGATAAGGATGTGAGGATTAATGAAAAAAAATGGGGCACCGAAAGCAACAGTCAGAGGTGCAGAACAAAAGTGGAGTCGAGCAGCTCCGCTAACTCAGATTAATTTCACACTGGGGTTGATCCTAATTGCACAGAAAAAGATCCGAATTTAAAGCATCCAGCTAAACTCCCGACAGTTTTTAGTAAGGAGACAGACAACACTGAATGCAAAGTTGCTCTGCCCAGAAACAGTTTAGGCAGCACCCTCAACATGAAGCGGAGATTTCTGAAATAACTCGGTGAAGAGGGTTTGAAGTGCACTCTAAGCACTCTAACATTTAGGGACGAGGATGTGATGTAAGCTCTCTTTGTGCTATTCTGAGCAATCACCTAGGTGAAAATGTAGTTTCACTTTTTCAGACAAAAGAGGAGCAGAGGGTAGTTAACTCAAGTAAAAATGAGAAAAACAGAACATGATATTGGAAAAGAAGGTCCAGTAGTTTTAGCTGCTACAATAAATCACTAAATTTCAAAGAGACCTATTTAAACAGCAGTGTGGCACTGTTTTAGTAGAAAGCATGGAATACAAAGTATGAAAAACATTTAATCGTATGCACATTCCAGAAAAATCTGTCTTTTACATTGAACCCATCCCTTTGAAGTCTACCTGAGGCAAAGGGACCCATAGTTGCAGTCTGTGTGGATCAAAACAGGTACTTGCCTTCTTCAAGCAGTCTGCTCTAACCAGAAGGCCACCACTCCCCCTTTAGTTAGTTTTTTTTTATGTTATTGGAGCAATTAAATGTGTGACATACTAATTATCACCTTTAAATCTGTTCAGTAAAACCTTTTTTGACTGAAATATACATTATAACCCACTCTAAAACGGCATTCCTTCCTTTCCTTCCCTATTTATTCATGATTTTTCTGCAGCTTCAAACTGAGGTCTTTTTGTCTGAATTTATTTTGTGCAAATAAAAGAGGTAATGCACCAATGTATCAGTGGGCGTTATATAACAAGAACCTCATTGCAGATAAACAAAATGCATGAATTCCTTCATGGCTAAAAATAACTATGTTAGTTTTTCACCTCTGTTATGCAGGCGGGAATTAAAGGAATCGCGGAGAAGAAATTAGAAAGACAAAGTGATCATTATTTTGCTGTGCACTAAAGGAAAATCTATACTGTTGGTTTTTATCACAGGGTTTAAGTGCATGGATGCTTTAAAATAGACCTCGGGTGCTATTATTGTGTTCTGAGGATTATCTCTAAAGTGGCAACAATTGGCATGAGATTATGCTCTTCCCAACAGGAGGTATTACCTTGTTTCTGCCTGCACATTATCCATAGGCTTTACTGTTTTGCTTTCATAAAGTTCCAACTAAAAATGTGCAATCCTAAATTTTTCTCAGTAATTTTCTTTATATACAATTGGAAATCATGTTTATTATTACTCCACTTTATAGTTTTAGATTAATTATTCACATTTCACTATAAAGAAAGACTTTATTTAGACGTAAGATCTATTTTTCTAGAGTCGCATATTTGGCTTTGTGCTTGTGTCCCATAACATTTCCAATAAAATACCTGTAATTTTTTGCTTTCAATCTGACAAAATGTAAACCAAAGTAAGAAAACTTTTGTATGGCTGCAACCACTTGGTCACTTCCTTCTTACCGTTGTTTTCATCTTTGATGGGGAAGCAGAGGATGTTGCGGGTCCTGAAGCCTGTGCTGTCATCAACGCCGCGGTAGAACAGAGGGTGGGAGTATGCATCCTTAATGTTTAAAATTTGACCGGTGGTTGCAACATGGCCTGCGATGCCCTGATCGGCTGGGATCCGAAACTCGTTCTGCAATCAGAGGCACAGACAGTTCTCATAATGTCCTCAAAAGTTTTTTTTTCTTTTCAAAACACATTTAGCTAATAAATATCAGACCCAAGCTGTTGCACTGAGTCAGCAGTTGACAAGCAGCTCAGTCTCTCAACTAGCAGGCTATGTTTGTCACATGGCAACTTTCTAAAAAATGCATAAAATGCCCCAGTTTCTTTCATTCTTTCTTTTTGGTGATGCTGCAAACACTTCTGAATTAATCTGAGACAACTAGGCCAGAAGGAACATGCTAGATAAGCCACAATGCAGGAAAAAAAAGACCTTTACAAAGGCAAATATGTGGCATCAGACAAGAAACAAACTCAGCATAAAGGGATATTGTAAGGGAGTGAGCCACCATGTGCCCACACAACTGCTTCACTGCATATTAGCATTTACCATAAAAGTCTCTGAAGCTTTATTGGAAGGTAAGATTATCATTCTTCCCAAAGCGACTTCCTAATTTATTGTCAAACTGGGTTAAATCCTGGTGTAATATATTATCTACATTAATGCCACAATCATTGAACTACTTATTGACCCCTCATGGTCTGTACTTGCTTGCATCAATCCAGTCACTCTTGATAATGTTTTGCTTCAGAAAATTGAATCAATTTAATATTCTTGCATCATTTATTTTTTTTTCTAAACAATAATATCTTTGTTTTTATCTACTATTAGAGTTATTTTTGAGAGGAATAACACATTATTGTATCAGTTTTATATCATGTGAAGGAAAACTGTTTTGAGCTTGCACCAAAGCATAGAGCTTCATTGTGATGAGGGCAGCCAGATAGGTTCCTAGGATGTACGCTTAGAAACCCGGAAGCAGCGATTCAATGGTTGAATAGTGTAACAACTTCATACCTATGCATAAAATTTTTTTTTTCTACATTTGCATAATCTTGGAGGTCTTGCAGGTTTGAATAGAGTTAGAAAACACTATTTTATTAGAATTACTTCCACATTTAGAGTGGCTCAAGCTTTCCTAATCCATCTCTATATGTTGCTATAGGCTTCGGCTGCTGGAAGACATAGGGACCGCTTTTCATCAATCTGCTTTATTCTGCTCATATTCTCCAATTGTGCTGTATTTCTCAGTTTGACCCCCTAACTTTATGTTCTTTCTGATTTTATTTTATTTTCATGTTAGCTTAATATGGCCTGGTTCTCAGTTTGGCTGAGACACAATCCTGGAGAGAGACATCAGCTGGGATGCTGGCCGTCCTAGTGGTTTGGGCCTAGAGCCTGGAATCCTGAGTTTCTGAGTTCAAGCCCTACTCCCACAGGCTGCCACTCTGAGTCCCTGAGCAAAGACCCTTAACCCCCACACTGCACCCTGGGCGCCACACAATGGCAGCCCACTGCTCCCCATGAGGATGGGCTAAATGTGAAGAGTTCATTTCATTTATCTGTACTTGTGAAAGTGTAATGCCAATAAAAACTGGGGGAAAAAAACAGCTTTCATTTTAAGCCCCTTTTCTATAGCCACTCAAAACCTTGGGGCTTTTGAAATAGTGGATAGCATTTCCATAGGTATTTTCCCTGTTAATTGCCATTTCAAGGGCTTTACTCTATGGGACGTTGATAGCACTACAGACCCAGTACATTCTGGGCATGCTGAGGAGTGCTTTGTGTACAGCTCCTGTGCTTAAGTACCTCAAGTTTATCACAAAATAAGTCGTAAAGGTGTTTTTAAGCAAGAAATGACTTGCCAGTTGCAAGTTTATAAAAAAGATAAAAAGTCAAATAAACTTTTTAAGCTTAGGGATTTACTTGTAGCTGGCCAATATTGGCCACTTTTCCAGCGTTAAGCCCTGCTTCTCTCCTAGTCAGAGCTACAAGCTCAGCTTTTAATGTGACTGCCTATTTTTGTTGCCTTGTATTCCTTTTAAATGAAAACAATCTCAATGCTCACCTGAGTTCACATCTTTCCCATCAGGTTCACCATGTCATGTAGCTCTAAAATAGACTGTTTGTATCTCATCAATTTTCTGTACCTTGTGGCTAAAATACGGTTGTATTTGCGATGGTGCGATTGTATGTTCACACGTACCTTTGCAAACTTCAGCAATGCTGCCATTTTCCTTGTACTGAAATTAGGATTCTTTACAACCTTTCCAAACAAGTCCTGCTGGTTCATTCTTTACCTTATAGAACTGTCATGAACTTTAACATCTAATATTAGAGCTGAGGGCTGTGGGGTCCGAAATGTTTTCTCTGAAATTTCTTTGTGTATTGCACTGTCTGACCTCTGGGTAAATGTGACAATCTTTGAAAATTGTTTACCGTCTTTTCCTATACTCTACACCCTGTGCTGCTGTAGAATGTCCACATATTTGGAAATCCCCATTTTAACATTTTTTTAAGACTCAAGAAATGTTTTTCTTGAATCTGGAGTGTTGGTGTTTTATCACAGACAACTAAAGCGCCCAGACCCTTAGCCTTGTTAAGGCTGTTGATCTTAGATAATTAAGAGATAGCGCATTTAATCAGCATTCATTTTGTACAATGAGTAGTAATGTAAGTGTCTAATATACCATGTGCTTCTGTTAACCTCTTAAAACCCACCAGGTCACCGGCGACCCGGGGGACCTTAAGTAGGGGTAATAATTAAGAATGCATAAAATTCCACCGGTAAAATTTTTACCAGCAGGTGAAGCCATTGCGCGCAGCTCCAAACTGACACCAAAAGTTTCAAACCCCACAGCTCTGGAACTGTTATAGCTAGAGGGCTGAAATTTTCTGCATTAGTGGTTGACATGATGTAGAACAAATATAATACAACAATACATTCTCAAGAATGTCTTTGTTACTGCTGTTAAAAAAAGACCTATCATTTTGGAGAATAAAAAACAACAACTTTAAGTCATGTTTGAACTGATGCAAGTTGGTCTGTGTTCTACTCACCCAATTTTAAAAACTAGAAACTAGAGGGTGTTAGCTTTCAAATAATGTATTGCACATTTAGGTTGGGCTTACAGTACCTAAGTTATTTTCTTTTCCATTTGGGTATGCAAAATAGGCAAGGATTACCCAAAATGTTGTGGATGTTAAGAGGTTAATCTAATGTTTTTATTTCAGTTTAAGACAAATCATTAACAAAACTTTGTCATAAGATTGACCACATCATTCAGGCTTGCTTTACCTCTTCATCACTAACAACACCGCCATCAAACACCTTCGCCACCAGCTCATGGCTGACTCGATCCAAGAGGAATACCGAACAACTGGAAGAAAATATAGAGAGAGGCAGAAAACACTGCATTGCTGATAACTTTCCACATTTTTCATCTAATCTTACTGGAAGTCAGTTTGCGACTTTTATTAAATCAGACAAGTTAAAAACAAATAGCTGGAGTAGCCTTTCCAAATGCAGATAAAGAGATTTCCAATCTGCAAACACAAGCTCTCTCTCTTTCCGACACATATTAAATCGTCCTTGTTAGGGTGAATCAGAGGGCTTACATCTCTGCGTCGCTCAAGTTCCTGGCCTCCACAATTATTTCCTGTAGCAACACTGACACATCATCTGAAGGAGTCCGACAGAAGGGAAGAGACAGAGAGAGGGAGGAATTAAAATGAAAACAGGGGAAATCATAGCAGTACAGTAGAGCCAGGCAGACAGAAACAGAGCTTAGAACAAAAGTACCTGAGGATCAGCAGCACAAGCTGATAAGAGCTTTTGTAATCATGGGTTCAGTCCAGTGAGTGGCAATTTGCTCTAACACTGGATCAATCTTTGTTCTTGCAGTCATGATAAATCAACAATGACATGTTCTACTGTTACTGCTGGCTGTTTCATAGGAATGGGATTGTAGTTATATGAGACATCATCTTTAATGCCCTTTTAAGTTTATGATTATGATTCTGGATATTATCACCTCCATGATAAGTAGTATCTCATTCAATTATGCGCACCATTTATTTCAAAAGGTGAGCATTTAAATATCTGCTAGGAAAGCAAATCATCCAACAGTGTCTGTTCTGTGGACATTCATACAGACAGGGGTAGAAACTTACCCAAGTGTGTGAAGAGATTCTTGGCCACTTGCAGAAGTGCCTATGGAGGGAAACAGTGAACAATGAAAAGCTCATCAGAAGACAGTTTCAGTCTCAAGAGCAGCATCTACTGCAGTTCTAGTATGAAGTGCACATTCCTTCATCAAAGTATGAATGGGACACTTATTATTGCCTTTTAATTAATTGTTTCAACCTTTTTTATTTGAAATTGGATTATAGGAAAGGCTGCTTTAGTGCACAAGTTTGAATCTGTGCAGGAGCTTTTCTGGTTAAAATATACATATGTGTTTAAATGTGGACATGTATCCTCACTAACATATTGAGAAACATCTCTCTGCGAGTTGTGAAAAAACAACAAAAAAAAAACATGTTTTTTGTGTCCATTAAAAAGCCTGTGAGAAAATTGTTTCTCAATATCTGACCACTCCTCTTGTTGGAATTGGTGTAACTAAAAGTAAATTCTCTGATTTCAATGTACAATGTATATGGTAGGGGCTTGACCACATGTATGTGTTCCAGCTGGAAAACGATAACAAAAATAAAACAGTATCTGGTTGTGGAATCAAAAAAGCAGGTTAAAACTATGATTCAGATTCTGAACCCTTCTTAAAGGCATACCGTGTAACTTTTTGCCACTAGGGGCGCTATACCTTTAACTGCCCGTATTTTGCTCATACTAAACATTGGAAATAATAATAAAGATATATGACTATATACTAGGAGCAAAGTATTAACTTACCAGTCTAATTATAAAGATGAGAAAAGAGAATTGTATTTACATCTGGCTTCTTCTTTGAGCCTGCGCCAATGAACAAACTTCTTTCCAAGATTGACTCTTGTTTTTGCTTGTGCACGATCCCTTTCACGTTTTCTCTTTTTAGCCTCCTCAGAAGGTTTAACATTTTTCCTTGCCTCAGTACATTGAAGTTAATGAATTGAATTAAAGAAAATCATCAACAAATTTCAATATTCACATCCATTGGTTGGAATCTGAATGCCGTGGAGGTACGTGGGTGTAGATGGAGGTATGTGTGTGTTAGTAGGTGGTTGTGGTGGGTGGAAGCACGTGTGTGGCAGGAGGTATGTGTTATACCTGGCATTCCACTTTTAATTTCTGCTCTTTCTGGAAAGCCAGAGTAGAGGTGAGGACTGTCGAAGTGTAGCAGAAGCAGTGCTGGATGACGTGTTCGTCTGCCTCTGTATGTCTGCAGAACAAAAACACACAAATGAGTGGGAAAGTTAAGCCAATACTTAATCTTCTCTTTCTTTTATATTCATGTTGCAGGAAAAAAACCCTATCTCATTTTCTTTTCTTATACCATACATCTTTTTAGAAGATTGTAAAAATAATATGACATATTTTGAACCTAAAGGTTGAAGCAAATGGAACAACAACAGTTTCAACTATTTGGTTTTGGTCAGTTTTTACTGGTTTAAATAATTCATTATGAGTTAAACAATAATTTTTTTCTTATCTTTTAAATTCATTCTTGTTTTGTTCCTGCTTTCTTGCTTGAAAAAACAACCTGTGAATTAACTAATGCAAGAACTGGAGACAAGGAAGATTATGTATAAGGAATAAAGTCACGGTGGAATGCTTTAAACTATAATGAAACCAGTTTCCTGCAGGTAGGGATTGTTGCATAGGCTTATAAACAAAAAGAATAATGACCACAGTTATACTGGTAATTGGCTGCAGTTTTCCGTAGCTTCCCATAGAGAGCAGTGGCACATTATTATGTGGAGGTTTCGAGCCTGTGACGGGCTAAAAGGGTTTTTCCTGGTCCCAGATCAGACACACAGGAATCCTGACAATGGAGACAGGGGCCTGCATCTGGGAAATCTCTGCGACTGACACCCAGGAGAGTAACAGAGCAACACTGAGACTGGAGGACCATTTTCTTTGGTAGCAGCTTGTTATTTTCAGTCATGACACAAAATAGTCTCTATCCCTCACAGGTGGAACAGTAGCCAGTGGGAATCTGTTTTTAAAAAACTAGAAATTATATACAGACAGGGAAAAAAACATGCAATACATTGCAAATAGAACCTTTTACTTATGAAATAGTGTTTTGTAACACAGCAGTGGACTTGGCTTCTGTGGTGCAGAGAAAGACATTTTAAATTCTTCCATGTCTTAGAAATAAGCCTTACAAGCAGCAGCCTTGGGCTTCCAAACAAGGCTATCATCTTATTTATGAAAAATAAAAGGTTCTCTGCGCTGGTTCAATTCCTTGCACTGAGGTTGATCTCATAGAATCTGTTTTGAATTTTTCAACAGAAGCTCATTTCCATTGCCTCTGAAAAAAAAATGTTGGTAGGCTTTTTTTGTTAGAAAAAGTAATGAACCTATTACTGGTGCTTCACATTCTACCAGGGGACCTGTGAGGCCATATTTTACTTTGCAAGCAAACAAACTGCATATGTAATCTATACAATGATGGAGAAGTTAATCTGTTTTACTGTTTTCACAGCAAAGACTAGACTTATTGTATCAACTGCTCTGTGGAACCCCTAATCCTGCAGCTTTCACTAAAGTAATGAGATGCCAACCACTACTGAGTGAAATGATCAGACATGATCCTTTCTCATCTGTCTCATGAAAGTGCATTTCTAAATAAATAAAAACAATATACTGAACAACTCCCCTGCATCATTTAGCAAACACAACCAGGGTGATGAAATAGCCAAAGCTTTTTCACCGACTTCTGCATTGAGGAGATAACAGCATTGCTCCTGGCAGTGAACAGACGAGACAAAAACACACGGAATGTACATGCCAGGGACCCGCTGCTGCCAAACCAGGCAGCCAAGCCACCCGCTGCTTAGACTCATGACCTGACTCCAGATCATCACCCTGCCAACGTCCTCATCATCATCATCATCACAGCCATCTGCCCACACACCCAAAAGAAGGATGAGTGGACGTGAGTTTTAAAGTGCAGCCGTGTGCTGTTGGGATGCACTTTAAGTCTGTATGTTGTGTCAGAGTCTTGGCAGTTGGTGCAACATTGACTTAGCCTTCAAAGCAGAGCAACAGTTTAAATACTTTTCAAGCATGAGGTTGAATTTAAGTCTAGTAGCTTTTAAAAAAGGGTGACATTGATTAATTGAGCTTTCCTGAAATCTGGCCTTAATGGAGGAGAGGGGTCCTCGTGAACAGGTGTCCCTCAACTTTTACATGCTTTCCTGGTGCGATACACTCTAATTAAAGGTTTATGTCATGAGCAGGACTCTGGAGAACCTAAATAGCTGCTTAAAAGGTTAAATCAAACTTTATTTAAATCAAACCTTATTCAGCAGTGATGGACCAAGCACACATCTTTGACAATTTAAAGATTTGTCCAGGGACAGCAGATGAAAAATAGCTTTTTGTCTAATTCTGGTGCATTTGCAGGAATGCTTATTAATGTACACTGTCCCTGTCAAATAAATAAATAAATCTAAATCCCTCCAAATATGTAATTTTCTGGCAAAAGCGGTGGCAGGAGGATCATGATCTGTAGAAAATGTCTACAGTAGTGAAAATGTCAGATAAGACAGATAAGACCACAATTATGATTTTTTTTGGTACACATGAAAAACCATGTGGTGGAAAACTAACGCACCTAATCAAACAAAGTGTCAGAGAAAGCCAAATGTCTAAAACTGTGTAGGAGGTTAACCTTCCATTAGGACAAGCCTAAATAGCCAGAGCTGTAATCTAATGCTTTTGTTTAAAGCAGGGCTGCTCAAGAGCTACCATCCTGTAACTTTTAAATGCATCTCGTCTCTAACACACCTGCATCTAAGGAATCAATCCCCTCATTTAGCTCAGCAGAGGCATGGGAACAAGACACACATTAGATTAAGGTGTATTAACAATGTGGTGAATCAAAAACCTGCAGGATTGGAGCTCTTGAGGACTGGACTTGAGCACCCCTTGGTTTAAAGCATATTATTGTTATAAGTTGGCTCAATTAAAGTTAACACTTCAAAATACAAATTTCAGTCATCAAATTAAAGTATCCCAATAGAATAGCTGCTGCAATCCCCACAAAAGGAGATTCTACCTTTTGTAGCGACTCAAGGAGGCTGAAAACCAACCAGAACACTTTTGACATTTAAATGTTCATGTTCTTGCTTTTCGTTTTACAATTATAGTATAAACTTTCTTTGTGTTGGTTTAACACATTAAATGCAAATAAAACGATCGATTTTGGGGATTTAATTTGACAATATGTGAAAGAAACAAAGAAGGTATAAATGTGTTTTTAAACAAAGGAAAATTATATTCAAACTGTTAGCACTAACTATCAAAGATCAGTATTCCACCAGCATCAGCTTTACAGAAATTCAAAATTAACTTCTGTCTGATAATGAATTCAATCACAAACACTGACAATTTTGTCATTACATTCCATCCCTAAAAAGGCATAATAAACACTTTCTACTTTAATTAAACAATTAAACATTGACATAATTTACATGTAATACGAGCATTTAGAAGATCACTAAATGAAATAATTTCTGAATATTTACAGCCTTGTGAAGACAGCTGATGCGTTAATGTTCACATCTTTATCGTGGTTCCAGCTTTAAGCTTCCCAATTAGCACCAATTTGTGACTTGAAACTGAATAATATGGCAAGAGGAGACATGAAAGGTTATAGAGCCAAAGCTCGAATGGAAAATTATAACTACATGGTTCTGGGTTTCTCGTTTTGGCATTTAAGACATTAGTGACATTTCAATCACAAAGCTAAAAACTTACATTCCTTTATAAGACTATTTCATTTTACATCTATAAACAATCATTAAATCTTTAAATTTGTAAAAAAATCAAGTAAAAAAAAAAAGTGTTGGGCATTTTTCCATCATTATATCTAGTCCAGAAATAATTGTTTAAAAATAGGCTTTAATGGTCGGTGTTATTTTGTCCCACTTTAGTCCAATAATACATGTTAAAGAGACGTTTTAACCTGGGTTTGCAACTTCTTTTCAAGGATCTAAAAATTATGTTATTTCACCTTTCATTTTCCAACCAAATGTAGACGTTGTTTGGACATAATTCATGTCTTTGCAACGTCTTTTTAGCCAATTTTTGAGGGGCATGAATAACATTAACACAACTTGAAGGACATCCATTCCCCGAGGACTGAACAGCGAGAAATAATAGAAAATTCAGTTTGGGAACAACAAAATAAATGTTTATTATTTGTTCTGTGGTGATAAACCTTGTTTTACTGTGCATCAACTTTTTCTTCCCTTATGAAAGCATCTTGATTATTTGATATGCTATGGTGTTCAGTTTTAGGTAAAAGGTGCTGTGTTTTCCATTTCTGTAAGACTAATCCCGCTGCCATTACATTTTCTGCAAATCAACAAATACAGTAAATTATTTGTTGTGTTTTCCAGTCTACCTCATTATAAGCCACATCTACTAAATGTTTTGAAAAAAACTGGAAACTTACATATATAAGCCGTTGATATCTACCGAACTGTCTCCCACCAAACCTGTTTTGGGACATTTGTTCTCCATTATGCCTGCTGCTAGCATTTTCTTTTGCAAAATAAAAATAAGCCCCTTATTTTTTTATTTCCAACTTCAGTTAAGGAAAAAAAAAACACAGAAAAGCTGCACCATAAGCCGCATGGCCTCAAAGGTTGGGAAAAAAGTAGGGGCTTATAGACTAGTAAATACGGTAATTTAATCACAACTTATTGCAATACAGTCATCAAGTATTTTACCATAAAGCCATGTCATTTTGGGACACAAAATCTCTAAGAAGACAATCTGAAAAACTTCAGGTGTCTCACCTCTGTCCACCCTGTTTGTTAAAGGCGCACGCCAGCGCCACCACATGACCAGTGGCCCTGCTGACGACGGGGACACAAAGCATAGAGGAGACCTCGCAGCCCAGCATACTGGACAGCTGCCTGCGCTCTTCCTGAGGAAGAGGAGCACAGATAATATCAGACAGGCAGAGAGAGGAATGGCCTGATGGATCGATGGATAAGATGGATTAAATCTTACCGCGCTGATGTCCTGGAGGGATATAGACTTCTTTTTCTCCACGACTTGACCAAAGCGCCCAAACATCAGCTGGACAGTTGAGAGAAAAAGACAGGAGTAAAGCGACAAAAAGAACAAACTAACAGGAGCCAAGGAAAGGGTCCCTGGAGATTTTTTTTAGGAGAAAAACATAATAAATTAAGGCTGTTGTATAATCGGTAAAGCTCATTACTCCTGTTAATAAACAGCACAAACAACATATGTAAGACTTTTTTAAAGTGCCCTCTCCATCCAGATTTTACACATCATTTGGCCTAGAGGGACACCGTCTATTCACCATGTAATGAAGAGCCTGTTAGTAATGCTACAGTTGCAGCATAAGCATGGACAGGAGACCTGGAGCGACTCAAAGGAAGCGATTACTTCTCCTGCACAAATTTCTTAATTACAAACCCCTACAGAGGATTAAAAGCCTTTGCATGTGGGAGCTTTATTCTTTTGTGTATGTCAGAAACACATGCAGGATTACAGCGCTTGTATTCTAAGTAAGCTTTTTATTATTAGCAACAAACACGGATGAGCATCTCAGTTCAGTAAAGTAGGAGATGAGGAGGTCTAATGAATAAAAATTGATGAAGGAAGGGCTGAACTTAATGTGTTGGAGGGAGCGTTAAAGATGGAAAAAAACAAAACAATATCTATTTTGTTTTTGTCTCACCGGGAAGCTGATCTCCTCCTCCAGGACTTTGTCTCCAACTACCTAAATGTAACAGAGGTCAAAGGTTACAAGTTGTTGAAAAATATTTTGTTTAGTGCTGAAACATAGCTGAAATTGTAGATGAGTAAATAATTAATTACAGTGAAATGAGGCAGGAGCCTTCATGCACTGTTTCTGAGTGGTATATGTACAAAACAAATGTGATAAAAGTGATAAGAAAAAAAAATCTGAAATTTTTGTGCTCATTAATGTTTTTTCAGTGAAGTAAATTTATTTTAGTTAATTGAGCATAATTTGGGAGGATTTTAGCTTTCAAAAGAGCCATTTCTAAACCAATGCATTAATTTGAAGGTCAGGTTAAAAGCTGTTGATTCTAGTAAATGGATAAGTGACAAAACTTTTAAGGGGAAGTTTAAAAGAAAACTATTCCATCTTTGTCAAATACAGCTGTCTAACCACAATAAAATAAATGATGATCCCGTCATTGGTTCAAAGACAACGAATAGAGAGATGTGTAGAGGTGTTTTAGAACAAACAAAAACAATGTTTCCTTATGTAACATCAGGAAGAAAATTAAGAACCTTCACAAGTTAATTTTATCCTTGGGTGCAATTTCCAGTACCTTGTGGGTTTATTAAAAATATCAAGTGGAAACATAGACAAAACTTTGAGTCATAATAAGGTTTGGGGAGACAAAGGTTTATATGTTCCAAAGTTTGGTATAATGTTTGATTAAACAAGGTTAAATGCACAATACCTCTTGAAGGTCAAAAAGAAAACAACAAACAAACAAAAAAACATTAATACAATTTATGAGCAGAGCTAAAAAGATGCACCCAATGTGGCCTTGTAAGTGAATACTGGAAACATTTCCTTAAGTTATGAAGTAGAAACTTTATCAATCTGTTTTAAAATAGTTACTTCATATGGTAGTTAGAAAATAGAGATAATTCTGGGATTTATAAACAGGCTAAATAAAATTTGGTATGATTTACAAAAAGAAAAAAAAACGGATTAAGCATTTTTAATACTGTTTATGTAAAGATTTGCTTTAAACTGTCTGTGTGTGTTTACCTGGCAGAAAAGCTGGTGGTTATCCTCAGAAACCAGCAACAAACAGCAACACTGAGACTTGGTTTGCTGCTGAAGCTGCAGAGGAGCAGAGAGAGAACTTTATTCCTGATGCATGCACAATCACAAAATACAACATCACCAGGTTTAGGCAAATCATTTCCAGTCGTAACTGTTTGAGGAACAGAACTGGTTCTAATTCAGTGAGCGATAAAAATACCAACAGTTCCTCTTTATAAAGTTTTATACTTTATTTCTGTTTGTTTTGCTTCTAATCAGTCAGTTATTCAGGCTTCTTGGAAGATACCTTAAATCTTAGCTGTTTTTTTGTACTTATTTTTCAGTTCAGTGCCTTACCAAACTCTTTGAAACTTAAAAAAAAGTTTGATTAGTCATAGTAGCACTTTTGAATTATAAATCATCCAGCTGTCTTTGCTGGATTTTTCTGCTTCATAAAGCAACTTTAAAATCTTTTAGCTTGCTGGGCCTTATACTACTTTTCCCACTTGTCTACACTCCAAATTTTTCAAGCAGTCACTGCACAACATGATGTCATGGTCAGGTATGAGGACTTTGCAGCAAATGCTTATAACAATAACTGGTGGTTCCCTTCCGAGACAAACTATTGGATAAAAAGAGTGATTTAAAACTTTTGAACACCAGTTAAGTAAGATAACTCATATTAAAAACCAAAAGCTTTGCAGTTAGATACCTGTACACAAACATCTGTACCGTATCAGTAATATAATCTGTACAATGTGTTGAAGAGGTGTTAATTCTTCTTGAACCTTTTTTTCTGTATTTCTTCACACTATGACCTGAAATATAGGTGTTGGTGGTGAGATATATGGGTTTTCAATAAATAGAAATCTGAAAAACATGGTGTTGCACAAAACCTTTTGATATGATACTTTGAAGAATAAGCTTTTAATAAAATGTCCTTCAGGTTTACATCTAAATGTTGTTTTTCCCTTTTGCATTGAAAAAACCAAAGATTAAATAGAAATCATCTACTGTATGAAGGGTATTAATTTAATTTGTGTATGGATGTTTAACTGGGCCATTTTTACATATACACATTCTATTATCTGAACAATGCATCTGAAATCCCTTCTGGATGTTTAGGGTTAATACTTTTTCAGCTTTAAACAGGTTTTTACGGTAATAGCATTATTAAAAAATACTAACTTCCCATTACCTGTGGCCAAAACAATGCTGTTGGGTGGGGGAGTGGGGGAGTGGCGGCCTAGTGGTTAGGGCATAGGGCATTGAATCCTGAGATTGTGAGTTCGATCTGCCACTCTGGGTCCCTGAGCAAGACCCTTAACCTCACACTGCTCCTTGGGCGCCTCACAATAGCAGCCCACTGCTCCCCAAAGGAATGGATTAAATGCAGAGAAGTAGTTTCTACTCTGTCAATCATCTCATTTTATTTAATATTAAATAAAATAAAAAAATAAAATCTAATAGAAAAAAATGAAAGACATCTGGTGAGAGATTCTCCCACCTGAGCTTCATATCTCTGCAGCTGCTCCAGAGCTACTTTAGGCTTTTTAGAAGGACACCTTTGTCTTGGACAGTGTTTAGGTGTGTCAAAGTCTTTCCATTTTAAAATGATGGTGATGCTCCATCTGATTAGTTCCTTTAATCCTAATGATGCTGTTTGTTCACTAACGTTCACCAAGTCAGCCATTCTCAACCTTGGGGTTGCAAAATGATTTCCTGGGGTAGGCAAATCATTTTGGGAAAAAAAACATGTACACAACGAAGGTAGCTTATGACCAGACATTAGAAGGATGGAGAGTGGTTGGGAATTTTAGTACTCAAAACCAGCTACTGGTTGCCAGTAGCAACAGAGTATGCAGGCCTGTCAATAGCTGCAACTGGTGATGTCTAAGGTTGCATCAACATATCTGTGCAAAATTACATTTTCTGTGCTAAACAAAACATGAAAAACAAATACAGATCACAACTCTTTAAGGTTGAGAGTGATCTCTGTATGGTCGTTTCTAACATAAAGCCAAGAAGCAACTCTGTTCAAACAAGCAGGTCCAGCCGTCATGTTAAAACGCTGCAGAAAAACAATTCTGCTTTTGACCAGGAAGTTATTTTTCATGTTAAATCTCTCAGAAACATAAATGTTTAAAATTAAACATGGGCAATTTTCTAGGGTATTTTGTTCAAGTTTAGCAGAGGTTGGTATTGTATTATATCATTAAAAAGAAAATAAAGTGTGTTATTTGTTTACAATTTAACCGCAAAATGATGGGATGTAGCGAACACTGTTGGTCTGTTCGGGAGTTAGCCTCTTGATGCTGTTTCATGTTTTAAAAAAACAAACCAGTGTGTTTCAAAATAAGATGATGAAGAGACTAATAGATGAAGTGTGTGTTCATAAGTGCTCGTCTGATCATGTAAATGTATTTACTAATTTAGTTTTTTTTTTAAATGTTAAAAAATATAGTCATTTTCTTTTCTACTTTACATTTACACACTACTTTTTGTGCATAAATGTAAACGTAAACATTTACGAAAAGAGAAAAGTCTGATTTTAAAGTTAGGAACTCAATATTCACACAAACAGTGCACATATGAAGCTGTTGTATAAATGAAGTGGAATTCATGCCTTCAGTCTCTCTGATGTTTTCATTCTACCTGCAGAGATTCAACATAATTTCCTGCTCCTACGTGGGAAGAGAAATACTCTGTTCACATTCATAGATTGAAATACACAGTGAGCAGAAAACACATCTGTACACATGCACATTGCATTCACACACCATTCTTCCCTGTAATCCACATATCTGGATGGAGAACAAGCAAGACAGGAATAAACAGTACCTACTGCCAACAACCTCACCCCCAAGTCACAAACATGAGCCCCTGGGAATCCCACATGTACATGCACATTCAGCAGCAACACGGAGAGACATAGACAGGATTCTGCAGCGCCCACACACAATAATAAACCCCTCCACCACCTTTTTGATTCTTTCATTTTTTACATTTTTCTTTTTTTACATTTCTTTTTTACATATGCTGTTAATCCCATAAGAACTACTTAACTTAAAGCACAAAACTGATTATTCTTCAAGAATCTCCTGCTTCCCTATTTCTCCTCCCTCATTTTTACAGCAATAAATTGGCCAAATGAATCAGATCTTATATGAAATACATTTTTTAAAGAAATATACATTTTCAATGCCTTTGGTCTATTCCTTTATACCAAGCAAAAAAAAGCATGAAATGCAGGTTTGGAGGCTTTGGGGGTGATTTAGTGCATGAAGGCTCGGCTAATCTGGCACTGCATTGGAGCTTGAAACATCTCAGTCAGCCCAAAGAGGCAAAAGTCCAGGGAGGTGTGAATGACTTAATCCGTGAAGAGGATAAAACACTGTTAATGTTATTAATTGAAAATAGGTATCTTATCGGCTGATGGCTTGCAACAGCTTTACATTTCTGTTTTGTCAATTTTAAAAAAGCCGCAATGAATACCGCATGAAATCTAGAAGAAAAAAGATAATTTATTTTGTTTCTGTCTCCTGTTGTGTTTTAATTTAATCTTTGCCTCATATACTGCCTCTTTCTCAGGCTGTCATTATAGAAAGGAATTTATTCTCATTGATCTTTCTGGTTAAATAAAGATGAAATAAACATAAATAGAAAACAAAACATGCATGTTCAGGTTGTGAATTGTTTCACACTTTGACATTTTTTTCAGTGTATTTTGTCCCCAGATAAGAGGATGCTGCACCTACTCATTTATGATGAATTCATGAGATCAGTGAGTCATACTCTTTTATTTCTATGCAGATTAAACACAACAAATAAATATTGGTGTAGCTCAATTAAGCGAGTAAAGGAGCAAAACTATACAAGCAGAAAAATGCTGCCTAAGCATTTAGCATCATTATTAATACTACTTAGCTTTCCCATAGTAACACAGTTTGTATTTTTTAATTAGATATTTTTACTTAAATTCAAATGCAATGCAAGTATGATATGATATTACAACCATCCTGTTTTTGGAAGAGGCAAAAGCACTTTGCTTTTGTTACTTTGGGACTTGGCAGCTGTAATTCCTATTTATAAGGATGCAAAATATCTATCTGAATGACCTCCAGCTGATCCAAATTATCCAACAGGAGGTAAGTAAGAAGCATATCTAATCCCATTATTACACTTAAGTTTTACCAAACCGGCCACTTGTGAAATCCAGGCTAGAATTTTAATGTAATAAGTTCTGAATAGGACCTGTTTACTGTTTGATTTACAGATAAAGTCACCAGACTGAACTGAAAAAAGTCCTTCAGTGTCCATGGATTGGTATTGATATAAACATGCCAAAAAGTCTTTAATAAAAAAGTATGTTTCAAATCTCACACTGGGGAGATAACATACTAGTCCTGTGGTGATCTTTGAAGATTTTTGTAAAGTTTCCTAACTTCTCTCCTCATTTTTCATAGTAGGAGGTTAAACATTGATCCTTGTGAATCTTTTTTAGTCACAATCTCAGCTGTTTGAAGCATCTAACAGTTGCACTGAGTCTGGATATGGCACTTTTGGCAAACAGCTTTTATCTCGCCAACCTTTTCTGACAAATAAACAACATATTAACATCACTTACTGAAGACATTCAGTTTCAAAAAGGTATTAGCAGGCACACTATGAAAATATTCTGTGAAAACACAACTTATTTAGAAAACCATCATTTCTAATGTAGGATTTTTTTCTTTAACTTATATAATACTTGTTTAAATTAAAATAATGATTTTTCAATGTTTCAGTGGGAAATAATTGTACTAAAATAAGGTTTCAAGTTTAAAAAAAAAACATTTATAGTTGAGCCATCCATACATGTGAAGTACACTGTGTTACACCCCCAGTGACTCAGCTCACTTGCATCTTTAAAAAAATCCTAAAACAGCTAAAGGAGGAGGAATATTTAATATTTTTAATCA